CTGACAGCTATTGTTGTGTTGGCTGTTGCCATTTTTTTTTTAATTTGACAGTCTAATGGAAAAGGGTCAGTGCCCCTGACTAAATAGTCAATTATTGCATGGTTTAAAAATTCTGGCAGCACATGGGCTGAAAATCACTGCTCTAGAACATTACTTCTGAGACACTGGTTTTATTGGGTAATAGGAATGCCTGGGAAAGGGGATACTTTCATTAAATACATTTGGAACATTAAGTGTTAAAGCAAAGTAAAATAGGTTATTTAGAGTAGAACATCTCAGCACTTCCACTGTATTAACATGTATTACATATACAAGAGAAAGAACTTAGTGTGGAGAATCTGAGTATGAATGATTCTGATCCAGGAATCTTTTTCTCAAAGTACCCCACAGGACAGTTTTCCATGAGACACAATTTGGGAAAGAATGCTCTTGCTAATGTAATAAAAAGACTCAGATACTTAAACTTTTCCTGGTTTAATAATGATCTCATGATACAGAAGGAAAAAAGGAGTACTTATTACCAACTGTTTTGGTTGATATTTTATGTAAGTACTGGCTATTATAAACCTATGTTCACACCTAGGATAGTCATCACTGAAAGGCATCCATTCCTCCTCTTAAATACTTCCAGTAATGAGGTACTTAGCATGTCACAAAATACAATTAGCATTAGAGGTAGTTTGGCTACCTGGAAATCTTTCAGCTATTTAGTAACTTCAATAATTTCCTTTACTTTACATGAACAGAAAACCTCAGTGAAGATTTCATTTATTTACATTCATTTATTCAAAACTATTTATTGCCCTTTTGGAGACAGGCACTTTACAATTTTACCTATGATATAGTTACAATGGTGAGGTAGCTGTTTCATTCACTATGATCATGTGTTAAAAAGTGAAACAAGAATTTGCAAGTAATTTATTTTATTTTAAAGATTTTACTTATTTTCTAGACAGGAAAAAGAAGGGAGAAAGAGAAGGAGAGAAACATCTATTGGTTGTCTCTTGCATGCCCCTCACTGGGGACCTGGCTCACAACCCAGGCATGTGCCCTGACTGGGAATTGAACCAGTGACCTTTTGGTTCGCAGGCCAGTGTTCAATCCACTGAGTCACACCAACCAGGTCTAAAAGTATTTTAAAGGTAAATAAATGTGTGTGTCTTCTGTAATTACTCAACAGGATATATTTGTGACTTACTTGCTGATGGCATTTCATCACATGCTCTAACAAGATCCACTCCCAATCTCTAGAAAGACAGCCACCAAACTGTAAACCTATTAATTGGAGAGTGCAACTAGAAAAGGAATATCATTTCCCACCTTTTGTTTATTGCCTGGATGTTTTACAAAATGGCTCCCAATTCAAATTTAATAATTATCCATTCATTCAGTGTCATAAAATTCTGTAAATCAAACATTAAATTGATTTCTACTTTAAAAGTCTATTTATGCCCCCCCAAAACATCTATTCCCTGAAGCCCTTACAAAAAAGTAACAAGAGAAAATGGTTAAAATTCATTAAGTGAAAAGGAACCACATTGTTATAATTGCAACAGGTAAAAATACGTATGTGTAAACAGGAAAAAATTTAAATAGTTGTATAGTTGGTAGCATTAGTTCACTTTTTAATGATTTCTTTTAATACTCCTGTTACAATACTGTTAATCATTTTCTTTAGCTATTATGAACAGTATATCATTTGAAACTATTGTTTGATTCCCTTTTAAATAAGAAGAAACATACCAATAAACCCCACTGAAGATAATAAGATAATTTGAAGTTTAGATCTTATTTACTTACGGTTTATTAGCATCTACCTATCTTCAATTACAGTGTTTTTTCTAGCAGGAATGAAAAACTATTTTAGTCTGACACGGAACCTACTGTTACGCTCTAAGGACTAAATGAGATAGGTATATAAAGTCTGCACTTGGTTTGTAACCAATGCCTGTTGCAGCCCCTTGTTCTACTTTCAGTTTAACTTATTACTGCAAGTTTCAGTCGCACTCCTTTTTATCACTGCAGGTCACTCACAACAGTTCAAAACAACATTGTATTATTAAGCCTTTCTGGCTGTGCTGATTTCCTCTGACTTTTGTAGTAACAGTAACTGCTTTGTTGTCATATCCTCCCCCACAACTCCTCCCCTTCTACCTCAATCATTGGTTTTTAGTAACTTAGGAAACAGGCAGAGCACTGGCTGAGAGGAAAAATAAGGTCACTGGTATCAATTGGTTGACATTATATAAAAGCTGCCCTGGAAAATAGTGTCCATTTCTCTCTCACAGCTGCTAAACCACTCCTTGATGCTACTGGTCGTGTCTCAGTCTTACACATGGTAGAATTGTGTTTTTAAGTGGTTTTCAATCTGTCAATATATTCACATCGGGAAAAATTTTAGAGGTTAACAGTGCTTTTAATGGATCTAGAAAAAAAAAATAAAGATGTCTTCAGGGAAGAATCTTAATCTGTTTGCCCCAGAATCCAGAAACAATAAGAAAGATTCTTAAGATTTCCTCTTAAAATTTGAAATGCCATCTCAATTTGAACTTAATGATACTGAAGATTTCCTTCAGGATAGTAATTTCTCTTTTTAATTGTTCATTTTACATTGTTCTATAACTTTAGCAACTTAGATGTACAAACATATAACTGTTTTATTAGCACAGATGGAGAAATAAGGATATTTTTAAAGTGGAAAGGAATAAAAAAGAATAGCTGCGAAGGGAAAGAGAGAAAAGAATGCCAAAAATCTGTGCTTACTTTCTGTGTGAGAAGAATACTAATGTTCCAGTTGTAGAAAATGGTATTGTTCATAATATACTAAATGAGGAGAACAGTATATATAGTGTGTCTATAGAAATATGTGGATACAAAAGAGAGTGGAAGGATTTATCTCAAAGCTTAACACTGACGAACTTCAAGTAGTGGGACTCTCATTGACTGAGTTTGCTATTTTTATATTTCTATTGTTTCCTAGATTTTTCTACAGCAAGCCCATATAACTTTCATAATAAAAAACAATGTTTGTTTTTAAAATATAAACTATTTTAAGATAAAGAAAACAAATTTTGACATAGGATCTATAAATAAAGCAGAATCTATATATATATATATATATAAAAATTAAACTGCACATTTGTGGGCCAAATAAACACCATATGAGGTTTTTATTTTTCCCAAACACATGCACAGAATTAATCTGGACTTGAATTTTATGAACACATGTGGAAAAGCCTTTTCATTCCATAAAAATGTGTTGTGCTGATGTTTTTAACAATAAACTGCTGAAATATCTATCAAAAAGAATGCACATCACAATCAGTGAACGAATAGTTTAAAAAAAAACCCCAAAGCTACAAAACTTAAGAGCCCTGCAAAGTTCTGCTACAAACCATTATTGACACTGTGGCTACTAAAATATCAGTCATTTGATCAACACAAAGGGCTAAGTAAGAATAACAGGGAATGAACAACTTACTTTATACATAATTAATAGTATTTTGTTTTTTAAATTCTTTTGAAGATGATCTAATGTTTTAAGTTAGTCATGTAACTATGAATAAAATGTGCTTATTTAGATGATTCTTCTGGCCTCGATTCTCCTTGATTGCAACCACTATTAGAACTACACAGGGCGGGCCTCTCTTGTGGGCAACAAGCCAGCTCGGGCTCGGGCGCCCTGTTTCTGCCTCGGTCATGGCTGATGAGATCTCACTTACTTTGAAATTCCACTGATCTCACCTGATTTTACTAACACTTGGTTTATGCATCATCAATTGCCTACTCTCAATTGCCTACTCTCAACGTTCACTGCCAATTTCCAAACCAATTAAGGTACTTGGACAACAAAGGAAGATGTGCTACATGCACAAAACCATGATACCTGGTTGGGAATAAATGTAACAATTTATTCTGAAACATACCTTTTTAGAAACAACATGATGCTAGGAATTATAAATACACTTGACTTAAGGTTTTTGGATATAAATTATTCCATAAGCTAAATATTTTTGTCAGAAATAAAGCCAGCATCTAATTAAATTCTAAGTTAATCACTCATAACTAGGTCTAAAATGTTAGCTCTTTAACCACAAACACAGCATAAAAGAATAATTAAGAACTAGGGTACATTCTTGGAATTAAATTTACAAATTAAATGCAGCAGTGTCAAAAATAAGCTCACTCGCAACATTTTTCATTTTTCTCCCTTTCCTTTCTATCTGCACTTGGCATATTGCCTTCAGCTGTAGTCTTTAAAAAAATGTATTTTTAAAAAAGAAGTCTTTAAGAACAGCATAACCCAAAAAAGTGAACTAAAATACAGTGCTTCAATAAAAAAATACTAAATACAAAACTTATCAGTACTAAAGTGTGAATGTTATAAGATACTTAAAATATTTTGAAATAGCCTCAACATTTTTTTTATTACTAGTAAGACTGACCATTTTTCTAAAAGTTTACTAGTTATTTCCTCCTGTAAAAGCTGCTATTCATGTCTTTTATTCATTTATCAATTGCATGTTTTCTTACCAATATGTATGAGCTCTTTATGCATAATATGGTTATTAAACCTTTCTGTCAGATATTTTGCAATTACTTTCACTCATCTTTGTTTTCTTTTTAATTTGGGTTGTTTTCTTCTGTTTTTGTTTTTTGGTTAGTGCTCTCTCATTTCTTAATAATAAATTCAGCCCTGGCTGGTGTGGTTCAGTAGATTGAGTGCCAGCCTGAGAACCAAGGGGTCCCTGGTTTGATTCCCAGTCAGGGCACATGCTTGGGTTGTGGGCCAGGTCCCCAGTAGGGGGTAGACCACACATTGATGTTTCTCTCCCTTTCTTTCTCCCTCCCTCCCTTGCTCTCTAAAAATAAGAAAATCTTTTAAAAAATTCATTATGTTAACTATATGACATAATACATAAATTTAGGAATTCTGTTTTTTCCACAATGAGAATTAGTGGAATGATTTAGTGCTAATAAGATTTGCAGCAAAACAGAAGGACCAACCAGACTCAATTTTATTTTCTCACTTCGGCATTAAAGACCAACTGTGTTATTCTCCAAATGATCAGAACATTTCAACATGATGAGACTTGTATAATTCATGAAATGAACACTATTGTCTGAAGAGGCATAGAAATAGCAAATACAAGACAGGCTACCCATTGAATTATGAAACCCAATAGCAATGACTAAACACAAATTAGTTTATACTCAGAAAATAAAAATACTAATCCAAGAAACAAAATTCTGAAAAATCCTTTCCTCTCCCTTTAAGGTGATTTATTGGAAGTATGAAAATGAATAGGCTTTTGTTTCTCTTTTATGAATATTCAGAAAAACATATTCTCCAAATTCTACAAAATAAGTTCTTTTCAAGAATATTAATTTTAGAGATAAACTAACTAAAGTATATGCAAAGAATGGCATAGAAAGAGATAAGACAAATGTACATCATGCATTAAGAAAATCTAATATACAAAAGTCCAAATTTACTTAATAAAGTACTAGTATGTGTTTACATTACACAGTTAGGTTTATAAAAGGATTCAATACAGATTTTCTAAATGGCCATTTTCCTCAACAAAGGTAAACGTAGAACATTTTAATGTCTCTTTGAGACAGTGACCCACGCTTCTTCCTTGGCGGATGTTACCAGTTCATACTTAGTTTCAATGGCTTGTCCCTCCACAGGAAGTAGGCGCAGTCTCCTCACCAACACACTCAGCAGAACTGTGCTCACCATATATGCAAACCTAGTCAGGAGGAGAGTTGACTAGTTACTAAAGGTGAACAATCACACTTTAATTATGCAGACTGCTCATTTCTCATCAGCTTTGTGAGTGCAAAGTCCGACACCTCTCCTTTCACTTTCCTCGCTCTATCATCTCACCTCAGCTCTGGGCATTCCTGTGTGCCCGAGAATCCAAGCAAGGAGAAAGTTTTCCTTATCGATTCATCATCAAATCGGTCTGGATCAAACCTGAAAAGAAGACTGGTATTTAGTTTTTAAAAAGTCACCTCAATATATTTAATTTTTAAAAAAAAAGAAGTTTGAGGGCTAATCACAATAGAGCTCTTTTGGCGATTTACATATTTACAATGTAAGAACACAGGAGTGTAATAAAGTTTAAAATCTACTGAAAATAGAAACTGCTGTCACATTACACTTAAATTTTACCTATTATTATGTTCCCAAATCATTCAACATATATAGTCTCTTTCTGCTTATTTTATTAGTCTAAATAATAGATGTGAAATACATTTCTCTGGAACTAGCAATGAATAAAATTTTAACATGGCTTTTACATCATTATATGAGATATAAGGATAAATCATACAAAATCATGTAATAGATATTTAAATTTAAGTGTTCAAAATATCTGTTACATGAAACCATCTGATCAATATGCAAGGCATTCTACATTGCCTCATCAGTTAAATTTATTTCCTAAAATCAAAGACACCTGGCTTAAAATTATATTCATCTATTACATTACATCAAAATATGCTAATAAGTGACAGAAATAAAGAAACAAAGTTTTTTTATTGTACAGAATTTCATTCTGTAAAACACTGCAGGAAAAAAGGATATATTAAAACAAAACAAATAAACCACCCACTATGGAGCATAAAATTTCACCTCCAAAACAAATGTTTCTTTGAAAAGATAAACAAAATTGATAAACATTTAACCAGACTAATCAGGAAAAGAAGAGAGAGGACCCTAATACATGAAATCAGAAATGAAAGACAAGGGGGTCTGAGATGGCTGCAGAGTAACTGGAAGCACCATTCATTTGCTCCCAGACCTGGGCTGGTCTTACAGCTAAATCAGAGAGCAACCAACTTGAAGAACCAGCAGAGGATGAGTGAGAGCATGTGTAAGTGTGTACGCAGACGAGAGTCCAGGGAACATGCATGAGTGGGCAAGAGCCTGGCTGCCTGCAGGGCACTTATGAGCAGGAGGCCCTGGCTCTTCTAGCAGATAAACTGCCCCTGCCACTGTGCAACCTAGCTCTTCCGGCTGTGCAGATTCAGGGCAACTGGATGGGCTCAGGAGCCATGAGCTCCGGGGGCAGAGAGAGTGGCTGAGGTGGGGCTGGCTGCAAAAACCACAATGTGGGAACAGGCCCACCCAAAGCTGAGAATCACTGGAGGGAGCGAGCAGAGCACCCTGCCACTGCCCTGTGTTACAGTGACCCTGCGGGACTCTTCCCAGTGCCAGCCAGGAGAGAAGCCTTATCTGAAACTGTCAGAGGCTCTGGCAGGCTGTGGCCAACCCTGACTGAGGGAGACTTCTGATTTAGGGGAAGGAGGAGCACATGGAGAACAGGTTGCCCAGGGCTCGGTGCTGTAGCATGAGGGGCCACACAGAAACTGTTTTAAAAGAGGAGCTGAGGCAAGACTTGAGACTCTGCAGGGACCTGGAAATTATGTGTGTGTGCGCGCACAACATGCATGTGTGTGCACAGCAGCTCTGACAACAAAGAACTCAGAGGGATAGAGTCATAGAGTCATGCTGGAGGGACTGTGGGACCTAACCCAGCATGGCTAGTGTGCAGGCGACTGTACAGAGGGGAGAGTCTGGGCCCAAGACTCCTGTGAGTGAACAACAGGCTGGGAACTGGATGGCCAGGAGCTGAATGCCTGAGATTCGCTGCAGCCAGGTAGGTCCCCTCACAGACAGCCAAACCCAGCAGCCACCTGTGGGATTATAGGCTCTGCAGATCAGTGAGGCCAGGCTCCAGAGGCCAGGCTCAGGAGGCCCCTGCTGGGTGCATTTCCAAAGGGGAAAGAAGAAAAAGCTCTGAAAGGGCCCTTTCTACCAGACACTAAGAGCTACACTGTTCCCTGGGCCCTGATCCACTGAAACCACAGAGCAGAGAGATTAGAGACAGGTGCAACAAGGGGTGTTTAGGGCCCCGCCCAGCCTCTGTGCCTAGACAGAGCTGCTGTCAGCCCCAAACAGGAAACAGATGCCCCTTTTACAGATTGACCCTCACAGGAAATGGACAGCAAATTCACCAGAAACCATATGTTATTGGAAAGAATCTGGGACAGACCCAGATGTGTGGCAAGAGAGCTCCCACTATCTTCCCTGAAGACTGAACAGTGTGACTGTCACCCAGTGGTGACTCAGGGCTCCCACCAGCCCAATTGCACCTGAGGCCCTCTGTGGAGTCAGGTGGAGAAGGTACTGACAGTTTTCTTGGGTCATTAAATGAGGGAATGACCCAATCTTGGGTCATTAAATGAAGGAATGCCAGCAGAGCAAAACAGTGTTAACCAGCCAAATCTGAAGGAGACAACCACAGACTGTGGATCGCTCATAGTTGAACAGGATGCCTAGGGCCAAACTGGGACACCATCTGACATTAACAGGGGCAGATACAGAAAGAGAAGACAGTGGTAAACACTGGATTCTACTGAGATGAATTCCGCCACGGTCTTCTTCATTATTTGTATTGTTTTCTTTCCTGCATAGCTTTTTAACATCATTCCTTTTCCTTCAAGTTTGTACCTATTATTTTACAAGATTGTATATTTTACTTTAATTCAAATCTCATATATTGTTCCTCCTTCCTCTTACTCTATTTTACCTTCTTCCTTCCTCCTCCTCATTTTTGATTTAAAATTTTTCTCTTGCTATGAATTGTTTCTATTCTGCACTCTTACTATTTCTCCTCCTTCCACCCTTAATTTTTCTTGTCATTAGTTATCTCACATTCTTTATCCTAGTTTTAAAATACCCTTATTCTCTCTCTACCTTTATCAATCTTTGCTTCTTGGTTGTTGATATGGTGGTTGTCGTTGAATTTCTTTAATTTTATTTCTAGATCTTCACTATTTTTGTATTTCAAATCTCAAATTTTACCATTCCCCTCCCCAAATCCATTTTGCCTTCTTTCTGCTCTTTCTTTTCTTTGTTGTTTTAAATTTTAATTTTTTCATGTCTTAGCCTGTTTTCATTCCTCACTCTTAATATTTCTTTTCCCTCTATCCTCTCAAAATCATTTTTCTTTCCTCCAGACATCTCTTAGGCTTTTCTTTCTTCCTTTTTTCCTCCTTGTTCCCATTCCACCTATATTAATCTTTGTTCATTTGTTGTTGATATTACTGAGGTGGCTCCAATTTGGTTCCTGTTTTTTTGCACTACATATTTTCTAAATTTTTGTTTAAACCTCATACTATACTCTTCCCTTTTCTTACTTTTTATTTTCTTTCCTCTTCATCTTATTTCTATTCCCTACTCTTATTATATTTCCTCTCTCTACCCTCTCAAAATCATTTTTCTTTGTTAGTCATCTCATATTCATTTTTCCTTTCTTATAATAGTCTTAATCCCTTTATGCCTTTATTAGAATTTGCTCATTTGCTGTTAATAGTGTGACTGTGGGTGGGGCTTATTTTTGCAGGTGTGGGTTTGTTTCCTGGATTGTTTGGTTTTGTTTTAGCAGCACCTGTACAACAGCATTCAAGATGTGGTGGGTGGTGTGACTCTCAGCCAGACAGCCAGAGGGAAGGACCCACCGACGAACAGCCCAACAACAACCAAACCCAACTGAAACTAGAGACCACAAAAACGGCATAAGGGACATTCCAAGGGCATCCGGCTCAGGAGATGAAGGAGACTTCATCACTGAGCCCCACAAGTCTCCCACCACAGAAGGTCACACCACAAACACAAAAAGTCAAAGCAGATCAGTCTAATATGCAGAAACAAATGAGAAGAGTCACCTAAAATGGGGAGACAAAGAAACAACCCCCAATCAAAAAGAAAAGAGGAATCCCCAGAAAGAGTGCTAAATGAAATTGAGGCAAGAAAACTATCAGACACTGAATTAAAAATAATGGTTATAAGGATGTTCAAGGAGCTCAGTAAAAACTGCAAGGAACTTACTTGGAACTATACCAGCATGAAAAAGGACATAGAAACTACCTATAAAAGCCAGGAGGAAATGAAGAATACAGTATCTGAAATGAAGGATATATTAGAAAGAATTAAAAGCAGTCTAGATGAAGCAGATGATCAAATCAGCAAGCTAGGGGACAAGGTAGAATAAAACTCCCACACACAGCAATGAAATGAAAAGAGATTCAAAAAGAATGAAGAGGAAGATACAATAAATGGAAGTATATACTGTGTTCATGGATTGGAAGAATTAACATCATTAAAATGTCCATACTATCCAAAGCAATCTAAAGATTCAACACAATCCCTATTAAAATACCAATGACATATTTCACATATCTAGAACAAATATTTCAAAAATTTTTTATATGGAACCAAAAACTACCCCAAATAGCCTCAGTGATCTTGAGAAAGAACAAACTAGGAGGGATCACAATACCTGGTATCAAACTATACTACAAGGCCACTGTAATCAAAACAGCATGGTACTGGCATAAAAACAGACATATTGCTCAATGGGATAGAATGGAGAACCCAGAAATAAACCCACACCTATATGGTCAATTAATATTTGACAAAGGAGGCAAGAATATGCAATGGGGTAAAGATAGTCTATTGAATAAATGGTGTTGGAAAAATTGGACAGATACATGCAAGAAAATGAAACTAGATCACCTTCTTATATCATACACTAAAGACTTAAATGTAAGACTCAAAACCATAATACTCCTAGAAGAAAACACAGTCAGTAAAATCTCTGAAATTTCTCTTAGCAATATTTGTTCTAATATATCTCCTTCGGTAAGGGAAAAACAAACAAACAAACAAATGAGACTACATCCAACTAAAAAGTTTTTGAAAGCAAAGGAAAACCATCAACAGAACAAAAAGACAACACAGTGAATTGAAGAAGATATTCACCAATGATACATCTGATAAAGGATTAATATCCAAAATTCACAAAGAACTCATACAACATAACACCAAAAAGCACCCCCCAAAACAAATAATCCAATAAAAAAAATGGTCAGTGGACCTGAATAGACACTTCTCCAAAGGGGAACACACAGATGGTCAATGGACATATCAAAAGATGCTCAACGTCACCAGTCATCAGAGAAGTGCAAACTGTTTGGTCTTTTTTAATAGAATATTCTCTATCTCTTTGTTGAAATTCTCACTTTGATCATGGATCGCTCTCCTGACCTCTGTGAGCGTCATGATGATTGTTATATTGAATTCTCTATTGTGTAAATCACTTATACCCATTTCCTTAAGTCCAGTTTCTGAGGATTTATCTTGCTCTTGTTTCTTCATTTTGGATAGCTTTCTGTGTTGGTTTCTTCACATTAGATAAAAGAGCCACCTCTTCCAGTCTTGACAGAAGTCTTGTGTAGGAGATAAATCTAATTACTTAGCGCAGCCTGAGCTCCTGATTGCCTGTCAAACTTCTGTGATTATTCAAGTTGCTGTCTTCGTTTTGTAGGAGCTCCCAGTAGTTTAGGGCATGCCAAGTCCTGTCTGTGTCTAAAAAAAGAGGGCCACAGTCAGCACCTAGATGCAGACTGATTCTGGACCATCAGGCAGCAGCTGAGAAAACTTCTTCCAAGGAGAAACTGACATGTAGGAATTTTTGTCTGTTTTCTCTGTATGGGACCCAGGGGTATAGCCACAGGGACGTTCCTGTATCCATTTAAAAACTGTTTCTTTGTTTGCTACAGTCTTGTGGGACTTCTGAATGCCAAGTCCCACTGGCTAACTAGCTAGTAATGGAGGCCTAACAGTAAAAGCTGAACTGCTAGATGTGCGGACAAGTTCCTTCTTGGGAGATATTGGCAAGTTGGCTTTATCGTTGGAGCAAGAAGGCAGCAGAAGTGCTGACCAGCTATTTCAAGCATGAGGGAAGATCAGTTAGCACCTAGATGTGTGGTGATTAGAGGCCAGACTTCAGCCAGCAGCTTGTGAGGTATGCAGTCTAATGTCTTCCAGAGAAAGACTGGGGAGATGGCCATTTTCACCTGTTCCCTCTGCATGAACCTTGGCGGCAAGATTCTGCAAGTACCTGCATGCCTGTTAACACTACTTCTTTGCTACAGTCCTGTGCGATTCATGAACATAAGCCCCAGTGGCTATCAGAGCTAGGTGATTTGTGGCATGACCCTCAGATGGCAGCTGTGAAAGCTAGGGAACTAGATGTGTACACAAAAGAGATGCTGGCAACTCAGTTTTGCTGTAGGAGTGGGCCGGGGAAGAAGCTGCCCACTGGCTCCTTCAAGCTCAGGGGAGGATCACAGCCAGTAATTAGATGTGCGCTAATGAGAAGCTGGACTCTCAGGCAGCAGCTTGCAAAGTATGCAGTCAACCTTCTTTCAGGGAAAGAAAGGCTGGAAGATGGATGTTTTTGCCTCTTCCCTCCGCACTGAACCCTGGGGGACAGCTCGGTAAGTGCTTTCATCGTGCCTTCTCTAAGAACTGCTGCTCTGTTTGCTCTACTCCGGTGGCACTCACACAGAAGCCTGGATGGCTTGCAGAGCCAGGTATTTTGGGAGCCCATCTCTCAGAGGTGAGGGTCTTCAAAGTTGGGGCACTAAACGTACAGTCCAAACCCTTCTCCTCAGGAAAAAGCTGGGAATTGAGGGATGCTGCCTAACTGTATGGCGCTGTGCTAGGGTGGGATTTATGGCAAGGTTTATCTTAGCTTTTCCTACTTGTTTCTTCTTTTTTTAAAATATTTTATTTATTTATTTTTAGACAGAGGGGAAGGGAGGGAGAAAGACAGGGAGAGATACATAAATGTTTCGTTGCCTCTCGCACGCTGCACACCAGGGACCCTGGGCCACAACCCAGGCATGTGCCCCTACTGGGAAGTGGCAACCCTTTGGTTCACAGATCAGTGCTCAATCTACTGAGCCACACCAGCCGGGGCAGCTTTTCCTACTTGTTTCAATGAGGGTATTTTCTCATTTGCCCACTATGTAGAAGTCACTCAGCTACTTTCTAGATTTCTCCAAAAAGGAATTGCTCATGCATGGCTATACATTCAGTGTGTCTGTGGGAAGAGATTCAGGAGCCTGCTGTGTGCGTCATCACTTTGTCCCACTCCATACTGAGGTTTTTTACATTTGTCTTCATTCTTTTCAGTTGAGAATTTTTAGTTCCTTTGCTTTTTTAAAAAGATTTTATTTTTAGATAGAGGGGGAGGGAGGGAGAGTGAGAGAAACATCAATGTGTGGTTGACCTGGCCCACAACCCAGGCATGTGCCCTGACTGGGAATTGAACCAGTGACCCTTTGGTTCACAGGCTGGTGTTCAACCCATTGAGCCATACTAGCCAGGGCTACTTTGCTTTTTTAAAGCTGATATTTCATCATTTGGTATAGAGTAATATTTACATTCTTATCCATTTAAATCATAGAATTTGACCCAGGGTTTCATGCTCTGAAATAATGCCAATATTGTAACAGTAATAATGCATTTCTATGCATTTTTGTAAATAAATCATATCTAGACAAATATCTATAGGGAAAATAAGTTAATGTCAGTTATTTACTCAAAAAGAAAACTTATAGAAACCACAATAAAATATCACCACATACATATAGGAAGTAAAATTTTAAAAAACAGTGATAATAGTTAATGTTACTGAGGCTGCAGAGAAATTGAATCTCTCAAATATAACTGATGAGAATCTTTGAAAAATAGCCTAGCAGTCACCAGCAAAACTAAACATGCACTAATCACGTAACCTAACAATTGTACTCTTGGGCATTTTTCCCAAAGAAATGAAACCCTGTGTTCACACAAAACCTGCACATGAATAATCATAGAAATTTCATTCCTAATGGCAAAATCCTAGAAACAACCCACATGTCCTTCAGTGGGTGAAAGGTTGAACAAAATCTGGTATATCCATACAAGAGAATACTATGCAGCCATAAAAAGATATGCAACATCTACACTGCCCTCAGGAGCATTAAGTTTAGTAAAAAAGTCAATCTCTTCATTCTCCTCTGTGTGACAAATATATTTAAACTGTAATTAGTTGTCTCCACAAGGTCTGTCTCAGTCCTATGTACATTTTTGTTAGTGTGACTTGTCTCTCAGGATCATTTCAAGGTGCTGACAAGAATGAATCTCTAGACCTTCCAAAAGGGGATGGGTAAGGAGGTGGCTAACTTCAGAAAGCTTTTCCGTATCATACAACATAATTACCAACACTTTCTAAATTTGATTACATTTGATTCCTAAAAATGATTTCCACATTTTAATATATATTCTTTTCAGATTTTTCAATTTGCAACCTAAGTTTTCTGATCCACAAATGTCTATCTTTAATTTTGCTATAAAAGCTACTTGGAATATAAATATACTCAATTTTCACTTATAGCATATTTTGAAGGATTGCTATTTCATTTATTAATAGACTTCCTTTAATATCATTATAATATTAAAAAGTAAAATGACAGGCACACTTAATATGTTCCATCCTTATCCTCCAGAAGTAGGTTTCTAGTACCTCAACCATGCCACCAGCCCTGCCCTCTGCATTACACATAGCTGTTTTCCCCTTAAACAACTCAATATATAACCTTCTTCCAGGGCAGAGCATCTTAATCCATTTCCCTAAGATTTTACTAGATGCTTACCTAGGATGCAAACAAAAGCAACTCTGTTCTTCAATTTTTTCCCTCCTTGCCATTCTCACACACAACACTTATACACACAAAACCTACTGTCTGAATTTCATTAAAGCACTTAATAATTGAAACCAATAGTAGGAAAACAAAGAAACTATATAAGCAATATCTATTTAACCAAAAGAAAAAAAAAAGAATTCCAAATCCACTGAAATTAAAAAGTAGTTGTAGAGATCAGGTAGTTAAATAGATCTTAGGATAGAAGCAGTAACAGGAGGGTCAAAGAATAGCAGACAGCAGGTTCATAAGAAAAGTAGTGAGGAGAAGATTTGAAGGGAAGATACAAACGTGCCACTGACACAAATTAAACTTTCTCCTCAAAACTTAGAAAAGGAATGCAAAACATAAAACACATAAAAATCAATAATCACAATGACAGTGACAGATATTTCATACTTGTATGGTGATGGCCAAGTACTGGGGTCCTGAAGTACCACTCCAAGAGCATAAAGAACAAGGGTCTGCAAAAAAACAACAAAAAATTCTAGTTAGTGAAGGCCTAATAGAAACAAAATGACTCCCAGAAAGCCAGTTCATCCTAAATGCTCATTTAATATAAATAATAAATACAAAATAAAAATATAAAATAATAAAAGAAAACAGAGGCTATTATTTTGGTAATCTTATAGTGGGGAAGGCATCTGTAAGCGTGTCACAAAAGCCATAAAGTAATAGCAGACTAAACTACACGAAAATTTAAAAAACTGCATCTAGTCAAAACAAAACAAAACATACCATAAACACCAGTAAGAGTAAGTAATACCATGAAAAAATATTTGCCATATAACTGACAGTATGTGTAACATGTAAAAAGATCTATAAGTTCACTAGAAAGAATAGTGAGTTATAAGCAGATAAATTCACAAAAGAAGAAATACAAACTGGTAATACAGATATGAAAAGCTGTTCAATCCCTCCAACAATTAGGGAGTAGCAAACTAAAATCATAAGACAATTTTACATAAAATTCACAAAATATGTAATAAGATTCATAAAGCTAGAGGTGGTAAGGATACGGAGAGACAAAGCTCACACATTATTGATAAAAATAAAAAATGCCTTTTAGATGGCAATTTAAATTAAACATACATATGCACTTTGACCCCAAAACTCCATTTCCAAGGCTCTATCCAATACCTACAAGTATATGGTTTATAATAAAAAATGTCAATCTAATTTCCATTTATGAGGACTGCTTAAATAATTACGGTCCACGTGTGATAGGCAGTTAGACAAATGTGAGCAGAGCAAGAACAATGGGCCGGGTACAGAAGGTCACCAAGGTGGAAAGCTCCGGATGCCTAGGAACTGACCTTTCCTCCCCTAGCATATCACTGGTCATGAAGTTTGGACCCTCCCCTGACCTTTTCTACCCTGGCATGTTGCTAGTCATGCAAGTTAGACTCCTTTAGAGGGGGAACAAGAGGGATGGAGAGTAGCCTGTAAGCCTGTAAGCATTAAGCCTCAGGACTAGGGGGTTCTGACCTGCAGCAAATACATCTAGGCCTCAGCTGCATCTCAGCACCAGGCCCCAAAAAAGCAGCAAAACCAGACAAGACCCCACAGCTGACCTCAGGACCAGCTGCACTGACTAATGTCACCCTGCCTTGGTGCCAACTAATCAGTGGAGACCACAACGCTGAAAGGAAGTAACTGGAAAGCTGATACCTCCTCTAAAATTCCCACCCTCAAAAGTCTTTAGGCGGAGGATAAACTCTGTTCTTCAATTTTTTCCCTCCTTGCCATTCTCACACACAACACTTATACACACAAAACCTACTGTCTGAATTTCATTAAAGCACTTAATAATTGAAACCAATAGTAGGAAAACAAAGAAACTATATAAGCAATATCTATTTAACCAAAAGAAAAAAAAAAGAACTCTCCCTCCCAGGAGAACCCAGAAGCCTTCCCATCCCTCACCCCACCCAGGCACATTACTTTTACCTTCCCCTCTCCTAAGCCCCAAGGACCCTTCTTTTGCCTCTATAATTTTCCATGAATCAGTCCCACCTCTATGATTTTCTAAACAAACTTTCTCTTATACTTTGAGTCTTAGCTCTGAACTCTGTCCTAGCCAGAACTCAGGTACTGAGGATGCTGCCCCAAGGTCCAGTCTGACCCCCCCGAGTCTAACAGCTGGTGCTCGCCACCGCCAACACATGGAACACTATGCATCCATTGAAAATAATGACTTGGATCTGTATCAAGTGCCCATTGGACTAGTAGCCATGATACACTTGATAAAAGAAGAAAATTAAAGAATATATAAAAAGAGTAACCTTTCACCTATATATTCTGTTTTAAAAATACATACACGCAAATACAAACACACAAAATAATACACATACACAGAAAAAGATCTATAAAAATACACCTTGAACCATTTCTTAAAAGATTTTGTTTATTTATTTTAGAGAGATGGGAAGGGAGTGAGAAAGAAAGGGAGAAAAATATTGATGTGTGAGAGAGTTATATTATCAATTGGTTGCCTCTTGAAGGCCCAACTGGGGACCTGGCCCGCAACTCAGGAATGTGCCCTGACCAGGAATCAGACCTGTGATGTTTTGGTTCACAGGCCAGCACTCAATCCACTAAGCCACACCAGCCAAGGCCACACTAAATTATTAAGAACAGTATCCATGGGAAAGGGAGCTTTCCTTTATATTGAACATTAAAACAAGCATAAGAGGTATGTCTAGAAAAAGTCCAGCCATTGTTAATATACTATATTTTGCCATGTATGTGTGTACTTTTTTGCCCAAATTTTTTAGGGAAAAATAAAAATGCACATTATACATGGATAGCACTAATTCCATATCTATATATTTTTAATTTTTATTTATGCTTATGCATTAAAAGTGTAACTCTAAAAAGCAAACGATATCCATATGCAAAATAATACCCTGGAATACGATAACTGGTTTTGTTTCTAAATATAAATAAATACAAAATTGAATTAAAAAATTAAAACAATAGATTTTTTTCTTGAAAGTTTGGGCCAAAAACATAGGTGCACATTAAACATGGCAAAATACAGTAACAAGAATATTTTGCACAACAATGATGTAACCTGGCAGCCAAGGAGAGTGGACTGCAATGCGTATGAATGAGCAATGATGACTTCACTGTACTAGTCAGCGGGGGCAGCAGATGCCATTGAGTGAACACATATACTGAGTGGCAGTCTCATTGAAAATAATCGAGCAAGTACAGAAACAAATCTGCATCGAATTTTGCATTAAGCTTGAACATCCCTCCAAGGAAACTATATGGATAATTTAGAAGACCACGACTGTGGGCAACTGGTGATTAGCAGCTTCATCATGAAAACACACCTGCCCACGCATCACGTCTCGTGCAGAGTTTTTTAGCTAAACATCAAATCGCCCAGGTGACTCAGCCCCACAACACCCCAGATCTGGTGCCCTGCAACTTCTGTTTTTTTTCCAAAACTAAATCACCCTTGAAAGGGAAGAGATTTCAGACCATCAGTGAGATTCAGGAAAATACTACAGGGCAGCTGATGGAGATTGGAAGAACTGTGTAAGGTCCCAAGGTGCCTACTCTGAAGGGGACAGAGACATCATTGTCCTATGTATCTGTATCTTCTTCAATAAATGTCTCTTACTTTTCATATTACATGGCTGGATACTTCTGGACAGAACTCGTATATTATTTTGTCATTTAAAATGATAGTGTTTTTCTTTGCCTCCTCACACAACCAAAAGGACAACAACAAATTTGAAACAAAAAATAATCAGAATTGCCAGAAAATCGAACTGTATGGAAGTCCGACAATCAAGGAGTTAAAGAAGAATCATTCATCCAGACCGGTAGGAGGGGTGGAGACAGGCAGCCGGGTGGGAGACGACTCGTGGCAAGGCTGCGGATGGAGGACCAGGGTGGGCAAGGCAGCAGCTGACAGAGTGGGTGAGGCTGTGGCTGGTGGAGCAGGCAGTCCCACATTTGCGTGCAGATAAACTGAGAGGAACAACTAGGAAACGAGACAGACTATGCAAGCCAGGGTTCCAGCGCGGGGAAAGAAAGCCTCAAAACCTTTGACTGAAAAATATCTATGGGGGTTGAGGTAACAGGAGAAACTCCCAGCCTCACAGGAGCATTCATTAGAGAGACCCACAGGGTCCTAGAACATATACAAAACCACCCACCTGAGAATTAGCACCAGAAGGGCCCAATTTGCTAGTGGGAAGCAGGGGAAGTGACTGAAAGGCGGCAGAGAGCTGAGCAAGCAGCATTGTTCCCTCTTGGACCCCTCCCCCACATACAGCACCACAACACATCAATGTGGGTTGCCCCGCCCTGGCAAATACCTAAGGCTCTGCCTCTTACTACATAACAGGTGCACTGAGACAAAATAATATGGCCCAAATGAAAGAACAGATCAAAGCTCCGGAAAAAATACAACTAAGCAATGAAGAGATAGCCAACCTATCAGATGCACAGTTCAGAACTGTGGTAATCAGGATGCTCACAGAAAAGGTTGAGTATGGTTGCAAAATAGAGGGAAAAGTGAAGGCTATGGAAAGTGAACTAAAGGAAAATATCCAGGGAACCAACAGTGAAGGGAAGGAAACCAGGACTCAAATCAAGATTGGGAACAGAAAGAAGAAATAAACATTCAAAGAGAATGAAAAAACAAGAATTCAAAAAATGAGGAGAGGTTTAGGAACCTCCACGACAACTTTAAACATTCCAACATTCGAATCAGAGGGGTGCCAGAAGGAGAAGAGGAAGAACAACAAATTGAAAACTTATTTGAAAACATAATGAAGGAGAACTTCCCCAATCTGGCAAAGGAAACAGGCTTCCAGGAAGTCCAGGAGGCTCGGAGAGTCCCAAAGAAGTTGGACCCAAGGAAGCACACACCAAGGTACATCATAATTATATTACCCAAGATTAAAGATAAGGGGAGAATCTTAAAAGCAGCAAGAAAAAAGGAGACAGTTACCTACAAAGGAAATCAGCTAAAACTATCAGCTGATTGCTCAAAAGAAACCTTGCAGGCAAGAAGGGGCTTGAAAGAAGTATTCCAAGTCATGAAAGGCAAGGACCTACATCCAAGATTATCCAGCAAAGCTTTCATTTAGAATGGAAGGGCAGATAAAGTGCTTTCCAGATAAGGTAAAGTTAAAGGACTTCATCATCAATAAGCCCTTATTATATGAAATGTTAAAGGGACTTATCTAACAAAAAGTGGATGATCAAAAATATGAACAGTAAAATGACAACAAACTCACAACTATCAACAACTGAACTAAAACTAAAATAAAAACAAAAACTAACCAAACAACTAGAACAGGAACAGTTCACAGAAATGGAGATCACATTGGGGGTTACTAGCGTGGAGGAGGAGGGGGGATAATGAGGGGAAAGGTACAGGGAGTAAGAAGCATCAATGGTAGGTACAAAATAGACACGGGGAGGTTAAGAATAGTATGGGAAATGGAAAAGCCAAAGAACTTATATGTATGAACCATGGACATGAACTAAAGTAGGGGAATGCTGGTGGGAGGCGGGTACAGTGGGGAAGGGAATAAAGCAGAGGAAAAAATGGGACAACTGTAGTATCATAATCAATAAAATATATTTAAAAATAAAATAAAATGATTGTGTCTTTGATTTAATAATAGGTAGCATTTACTAGACACTTTAAACAATAACATTTAAAAATATAGACTAAATGAGTTGAAGAAAATAACTGAATGAGTTAAGTATATTAAATGTTTCCTACCTCTCTAGGAATAATAAATTTGTCAATCTTTCCTTCAATTACTTGAAGCCGGGCAGAAACTGGAGTCAGTTTGGCAGTTCGAACAGTTTCACAAAGCACCTGCCGACAATATCTGTTTAAAAGAAATTTTATTTGAAGATTTACTTTGGGAGAAGCAGTTTGAAAGGTACATACATTGCAAAATGTCATTCAACAACTTTTGTAACCTTCCTAATTTGAAATAGTCACATGATAATTCTTTCTTGTTTGAAGATGTGTTATATATTAGAAGTATATTAAGTCCAGCTGGGTAAAGATTTAAACAAATAAAAACATCTTTAAAAATACCAGAAGAGCCCTAGCTGGTGTGGCTCAGTGGATTGAGTGCCAGCCTGTGAACCAAAGCGTCGCTGGTTTGAGTCCCATTCAAGGCACATGCCTGGGTTACGGACCAGGTCAGGTCCCCAGTGGGGGGTGCACAGGAGGCCACCACACATTGATGTTTCTCTCCCTCTCTTTCTCCCTCCCACTGCCTAAAGTGAATAAATAAAATCTTTAAAAAAAAGTACCATAAGAAAACTCAAAACAATATTTTTATAATTTTTGAGTAGAAAAGTCCTTTATTTTTAAGATGAGATTTAGTAAAATTTTTAATAAAGGATTCTTTTAATAAAAATTATATAAATATTGACACAATGACAGAAAATATTAAAAAATACAGATAACCTGATTATACAATTTTTAAAAATATATTTTGCAATCATTATATATAAAATTAAAAAACAACTAGGAAAAATATTTACAGTAAATATATCTTTAATGTAGCAAAGCTCTTTAAAAATCCACAATTAAAATAATCAAACATCCCAATAGATATACAGACAGAGAAAAAGCAATTAACAAAATAATACAAATGGCCTATGAACATATGAAATGATACTCAACCTCACTAACAATGGAAAGATTGCCAAAGCACTGTTTTTACTTGCCAGATTAGGAAAGGCGAAAAAGGATGACAATAGACAGTACTGATAAAAAATAGGGAAAAAGCCCTGGCTGGTGTGGCTCAGTAGATTGAGCACAAGACTGTGAACCAAAGGGTAGCTGGTCTGATTCCCAGTCAGGGCACAAGCCTGGGTTGCAGGTGCCCAATAGGGGGCGCTCAAGAGGTAACCACAGATGGATGTTTCTCTTGTCTCTTTCTCCCTCCCTTCTCCTTTCCAAAAATAAATAAATAAAATCTTTTTCAAAGTGGGGAAAAATACACTCAAAGTTGACTGGTAGAAATATAAATTGGTATAATCTTTCTGAAGGGTAATTTGGCAACTTACAGTGTAAGAATATTAAGCGTGCATCACCAGAGAATAAAACTAAAATGTATTGAAATCTTGCTATGAGCCAGTTCTGTTAGTTTCTATGCAGTATCTCTTTTAATCCTTAAAAGAACCTCATAGATCTTATTATTTTAATTTTATAGATTTAAAAAAAGAGGAATTATACTATTGCATATATCCTTAAATAATAACCTCATTAGTATTTATTAATAGAAACAATTACTGTATTTTGTTGTGTATAATGTGCTCCCATGTATAATACACACCCATGTTTTGTGCGCATTATACATGGGATTATTATACCCATTATTATACCCATGGTATGTAATCATACCCATGTATAATACGCATCCTTATTTTTCCCTAAAAAATTTGGCCAAAAAAGTGTGCATTAGACATGGCAAAATATGGTAGAAATGTTAGCAAAGATGTAAGCATAGGAATGCTGATCATTTATAATATCTAAAAACAACAAAACCAAAGAGGAAACATCCTTCCTTTATTCATTGAACAAATATTTACTGGGTATGGTACTACATTAGGACCACTGCATTAGATACTCAGCTACAGCAATGAACAAGTTCAGACACCCTCAAAGGAAGTCAAAGTCTAGTTGACAGGGGAAGGGAGAAAAGCAAGAACATCAAGGATGAACAATTACCAAAGCACAGTAACTGTTATGGTAAAGAAAGTTCTGGGAACTAGCAGGGAACACATGGAAGGAGCACCTACCTAGAGAAAGAACTATGCAGAAAAATAAACACTTAGACTGAGACTTTCTGGAAAAAAGGGAGGAAAAGAGAATCTAGACAAAGAAAGAGTCTGCCAAAGCCAGAAGATATAAAAGAGTGTTTGAAAAAACAAAAGAATTTCAGTATAGCTGAATCCAAGGGTATGAACAGGCACAAGTAATAAGAGATAAAGTAGGAGAGGAATGCAAAGCTTAGCTGTTGAAATACCTTATAAAAGCTATGTTAGTTTAAATTTTATCTTAATGGCAACCAGAAGTCACTGAAGGAATTTAAATTGGGAAGTCATCTAATCAGATGTGACTCCCAGATATATAAAGATTACTTCAGCACAGTGACTCTCAACTTTGGCTACATATTAGAATCATCTGGGAAGCTTTTGAAACTCCGATGCTAGAAATTGTTGGTTTGGGATTGCTCCCAGGTTATCTGTATTTTTAAAGCACCTGAAGTGATTACAGTGTGCAGTAACAGGCTCCAGTAGCAATTTGGAGAAATGAACTGGAAGGGAGCAAGATGCAAAACTGTCGACATATCTCAGACAAGCTGATTGCAGTCTGAATAAAATGGGCACAGCAGAAAGAACTAAAATAAACTTCCAACTAAAAGTTGTTTAGAAAGTATAATTAACAGAACTAGATCATTGACTGGTTGTGGTGGAGTTACTACATATAAGAATACTGTCCATAAAATACTTAGAGAAATAATAGAATTTACAGGAGAGATATGTTACATAGTTATTGTTAATGCTTTTAAATTTTTTTTCAAATACATATGTGTATATGCACAGAAAAATCTGGAAGAGTAGTAAAATAGTTAACAATTTTTATCCCTAAGGGTACATGTATAAATAATGTACCTTCTGCTTTGGCCAGGTGGCTCATTTGGTTGGAGCATTGTCCTGTACACCAAAAAGTTGTGGGTTCGATCCCTGGTCAGGGCACATACCTAGGTTGTGGGTTCGATCCCTGGTCAGGATACATATGAGAGGCAATCAATCAATTTCTCTTTCTCACGTTGATCTTTCTCTCTCTCTTTCTCTCACTTCCTCTCTCTCCAAAATCAATAAACACATTCTTGAGTGTGGATTTAAAAAAAAATTTTTTAAAGAACAAATAATGTACTTTCCATACCTTCTACTTCATACAATTCTGTATTATAAAAATTTCAAAGAACAACTATGTATTACTTTTAAAATTAAAGGTAGTTATATTAATGTAATAAACAACACTTCCAACATTTTGAAAATTTTGCAACAGAGGCCTCCCCATGAAACCCATGGCTTCAAGTTTTTTCCAATGGCTATATCCCTGTCTTCATTTCTGTAGTTGAAAGATGCTCCAAATTAGGGTTGTTTGTTACCGAGTCTCAGAGTCCAATTTGCGAAGTAGCCACAGCTGCTATTTAAAAAAAATCTTTTCAAATATTACTTACATATAAAAAGTCATCTATATTTTAGCCCTGGCTGGTATGGCTCAGTGGATTGAGCGCAGGACTGTGAACCAAAGGGTCACTGGTTCAATTCCCAGTCAGGGCACATGACTGGGTTGAGGGCCAGGTCCCCAGTGGGGCCATGTGAAAGGCGACCACACATTGAGGTTTCTCTCTCTTTCTCCCACCCTTCCACCTCTCTAAAAATAAATAAAATCTTTAAAAAGTCCTCTGTATTTCAAAATAATTTTTTTACTTTTCAATTACAGTTGACATACAGCATTGTTAGTTTCTGATTTCACATATGTGAAATCCTAAAAAATTCACTTATTTTAGCTGTATATTTTGTTAAATTTTAGTAATTGCATACAACTCTGTAACCATGACTACAAGAAAGACATAGAACAAGAACATTCCCTCATCCTAAACCTTTACTCCTTTGTAGCTGATCCCCTCCGCATTCCTTGCCCCAGAGAGGCACTGACCTGCTTTCTATCACAACAGTTCTGCCTCTTGTATAATTTCGCCTAAATGAAATCATTGTGTTGGCAATCTTTGTGTCTGACTTCTTTCTCTTAGCATGAGATTTTTCCATGCTGTTGTGTGTATTGACAATACTTTATTTTTTATCTTAAAAATATTACTTTCCTTACATCAGTTAAGAAAAGTAATTCTATGTTGTACTCAACTACATTGTAAGTAGATTTAACTGAGAAGTATTATTTTATGGCCTTCTGCCTGTAAATATAAAAATAAAGACAACAGTGTAAGTCATACATTTCTTCAGGGCAACTCCTCCGCCTGCGTTTTCGGCAGTTAGAGGAGGGGGAGGACAAGCTTCTCTGTGCCTCCCCCGGTTTCTTGAGCTCTGGCAGAGATGTTTTCTGTAATTGGTTTTCCACATTTGCCAAGAGTCTGTTTCCTCAACATTCAACATGTTTATCCGAAGTCTTGTAATAGTTCCAAAAATAATAAAACAGGTCCCAAGCATAAAAATGATGGACATACAACACATTGGGGTTTTTTTTGTTGTGGCTTTGGTTCTTTTAAACAATTTTTTTTAGTTTTTATTTTTAAACTTTTTTCTATTGATTAATTTTTAGAGAAAGAGGGGGAGGGGGAGAGAGAGAAACATCGATTTGCTGTTTCACTTATTTATACATTCATTGGTTGCTGCTTGTTTGTGCCCTAACTAGGGATCAAACCTGCAACCTTGGCGTATCTGGATTACGCTCTAACCAACTGAGCCACACAGCCAGGGCTCTTTTAACAATATTTCATGCCAAATCATGTGGTAGAAATAAATTTTTCTTCACAGTAATAAAACCCACTAAAGGAAATGCAGTCAATGACTCATGCAGAGGGTGAGAATTATCTGCAGAGGCCGGCCCAAGACAGTGGCCACCTCAATGACCAAGACTTTGCATCAGTGATACGTGAGAGGTTTGGTTAACTTCAGTGCTGCATCCTCAGGAGGACAAAAGCTTACTCAAGGTATATGCTTCTGACATAGCATCTGCAAGGCTGTTCTCAATTTGATGAAATCCACTTCTCATACTGTCAAACATTAACATGAAAAGGCAACACTATGTTTTTATTTTATCCAAACCTCCCATCAGTCTAAGATGGTAAAGTGTCCCAACAATCGATTTCTCTGCTTTGATAATTAGATGTTTGACAAGTGAAATATTTAGACTTCCTTTTTTTAACTTATTATTTTAGAGAGAGAGAGAGGGGAAGGGAAAAAGAAACACTGATTTATTGTTCCACTTATTTATGCATTCATTGTTTGATTCTTGTATGTGTCCTGACCAGATTGAACCTGCAAACGTTGGCATATCGGGACAATGCTCTAAGCCAGCAGACCTCAACCTTTTTGGCACCAGGGACCAGTTTCGTGGAAGATGGAGTGGAAGGTGGAAAGTGAGGGGAGACAGGAGGTCGAGCTCAGGTGAGCTTTGCTCATGGCCCGGGGATTGGGAACCCCTCCTCTAATCAACTGAACTGCCCAGCCAGGCCCAGACTTCCTTTTAAATTACTGTTACTTTTTATTACTATAACACAATTTGTTTATTCACCAATTGATAAATACCTGGACTGCTTCCAGTTTTTATGCTATTAGAAATAATATTGCTATGAACATTTGCATACAGGTTTGTGTGACCGTTTGTTTTTATTTCTCTTGGGCGATATCTAGGAATAAAATTGCTGAGTCGTATCATACGGCAAGTGTGTGTTTAACTTTATAAGTTCCTGCCACACTGTTTTCCTACAGGACTGTACCACTTTCCATTCCCACCAACAAGGTACGAATGTTCCACTTACGTGGCATCACTGATATTGTTTTATTCAGGCTAATGTGAAGCTTTCCCAGAACTACCATATGGTTCTAAAAATTAAATTATTTATTAAAATCTTATGTAAATGTTTTAAGTACTATACAGTTATATAGCTTTCCTAGATATTAGCATTAGCTTTAAATTACACATTCAAACCAGTTCAAATTTACCTTTTAATGATTTCCTCTTGCTTTTCTTGTATTCTTACCTGAGCTGCTCAATTTTCTCTGGGGTAACAGGACCCTTTCCCAAAACTTGGTCTATCTCTTCATATAGTTTTTTCTGCACTTCTTCAGAGGTGGTTAAAAAACAGATTGCCCAGGTGCACACTAAGTAAAAATTTATATTAATAACAATGAAAATAGCTAATTCATAGTTTGGGTACAGAACAAGAAAAAAACTTATGTTTTCTTATTTCCTTTTTTTCTGAAGATAAATGCTACCAAAGAATAAAACAAAGTGTTCACAGGATTTATGTTTCATCGAAGAGAACAAACATATTTACAGAATACTCCCCAGAAGAGATGGTACAACCTGGAAGATTCCTTCTTCCTTGGTTTCCCTATCTCAGTCAGGGCCCATCCTCGCTCCTTTCCTTTCTTAATCCTCACCCAAGGATATATTTGTATTTTTTATAGAGAGAGGAAGGAAGAGAGAGAGAAACACTGATGTGAGAGAGAAGCATCGATCGACTGCCTCCCATACACACCCCAACCAGGGATCAACCCTCAACCTAAGTATGTGCCCTGACCAGGAATCAAACACACAACCCTTTGGTGTACAGGACAACACGCCAACCACATGAGCCACCTGGCCAGGGCTGAGAGATTTCTTTCTTAAAATGGCAAATAATTGAACCCACTTAATGTATCATACCTGGGTAAAATAGTAATGATAATAAATATACTTCACATCTGGGGGAATGTTAAATGTTGATAACTTTGATGGATTGTCTAGTTCACTCAACCTTGTAAAATCAAAAACTGACTTATCAGGTCACTCAGGAGCCCTAAGGAAATGATTCATACAAGTCAACGTGGCAGGATATTTACCTGCAAATCAATGTTTTAAATTTTTACTTGTAGTGGTAGATACACTGGCTCAATGACTGGAACTGGCTATTGCTTAGGACAGTGGTTCTCAAAAATCACCTGGAATTTGGTTGATGGAACAATCTCACATCTAGAGATTCTGATTTATTAGGTTTAGGGTAGGATCCAAGTATCTGTACTTGTAACAAATACCACAATTATTTTGATAAATACCAAAATTGGAAAGTCGCCAGCTTATGGTTTACTTTCGGTTAAAATTGCTTATGGATTATGTTCACTATGAAAATGAAAAGTTAAGAAAATTACATGATGAACTGAAACTAGAAAAACTAGAGTAGTTATATTTCCTTTAGTAATCCACTGGAATTGCAACTACTCAAAGAATTAAATCATCCAGATATATACCATATTTTACCATGTATCATGCACCCTTTTTTGCCCAAATTTTTGAGGGAAAAGTAAGGATGCACATTATACATGAGTAGTACTAAGTCCATATCTATATAAATGTTTTTAATTCTTTTATTCATGCTTATATGTGAAAAATGTAAATCTAGAAAGCAATGATATTTGTATACAAAATACCCTGAAATATGATCATCAGTTTTGTTTATAAATATAATAAATAATTGAATTAAAATTAAAATGACCTCTGGCTGGTATGGCTCAGTGGATTGAGCACCAGCCTGCACACCAGAGGGTCTCCGTTTCGATTCCCAGTCAGGACACATGCCTGGGTTGCAGGCCAGCTCCTCAATAGAGTTAACTACACACTGATGTTTCTCTCCCTATCTTTCTCCCTCCTTGCCCCTCTCTCTAAAAAAAAAAATATATAATCTAGCCCTGGCTGGTGTAGCTCAGTGGATTGAGCGCGAGCTGTGAACCAAAGCATTGCAGGTTCGATTCCCAGTCACGGCACATGCCTGGGTTGCAGACCAGGTCCCCAGTGGGGGCCACGTGAGAGGCAACCACACATTGATGTTTCTCTCTCTCTTTCTCCCTCCCTTCCCCTCTCTAAAAACAAATAAATAAAATCTTTAAAAATTAAAAATAAATATAATCTTTAAAATTAAAATGAAAGATTTTTTTTTCCTGAAAGTTTGGGCCAAAATCGTGCGTGCGCAGCATACATGTGAGCACATTATACATGGCAAAATACAGTAGTACCTCTTTCCCTAGATTATGCTTGAGATGACTATCTGCAGCTACTTTTTCTATGTCAAGTATTTTAAAAAATATGTTTACTAATTTTTACCTCTGCTTATAATCTCTTTCCTGAGCTAATAAGGGCTGATGTAAATTTGTCTCAAAGTTAAATTTTTTTTCTTTCTTGACAATTTCACACATAGGAGATTTTTAAAAAATATTTCATTTACTTATTTTTAGAGAGAAAGGAAGGGAGGGAGAAAGAGGACAGAAATACCTCTCATGCAACCCCCACTGGGGACCTGGCCTGCAACCCAGGCATGTGCCCTAACTAGGAATTGAACCAGAGACCCTTTGCTTTGCAGTCCGGCACTCAATCCATTGAGCCACATCAGTCAGGGCTCAAAGTTAAGTTTTTTTAATATTTGCCTAACTCACATATTATCCGATTCCTAAAGATATAATTCACTGTCAATATTATTAATATAGTCAATAGCTTCCTGGTCCTCAATTATTTTGATAATTTATTGACATCTAGAGTTCAAAAAAGGCACATGATGAGTAACTACCTGTCCTTAACTTTTTCCTACGTGTTTCTTTATTATGGCTTTTGAGTGAACTGCAGACTTTTTGTTAAATGAACAAATAAAAGAGAAACAGACTCACAGAGAGAGAACGTTTTGACAACTGCCAGAAGGAAGAGGGCTTGGAGGGGTTGGGGGTAGATGAAAAAGTAGAAGGGATTAAGAACAACAATAGGTTGTTTCAGAATAGTCATGGGGATGTAATAAACAGCATAGCAAATGTAGTCAATAATATTCTAATAACTATATATGGTATCAGATGGATATAAGATTTATCAAAACAATCAGTAAGTTATGTAACGGCTAATCACTGGGGCATATACCTGAAGCTAATATAATAATGTATGTCAACTTTAACTGAAAAATAAAAATGATTTAAAAAAGAAAAAAAAGTGACACAAAAACTAGTACAGAGTGTACAAGTGTATATATATGCAATGTACACAATACTGAAAGATGGAGAACAAAGATTTGAACACAGTAGGCACCTGTATATCCATTTGACCAAATAATCACTTAAAATTAATGAACAGTAAGCTTAGTAATCTCAAACACTGGGAACTTCCAGACAAGATGGAGGCATAAGTAGATACACTTTGCCTCCTTGCACAACCAAAAGAAGGACAACAAATTTAAAAACAAAAAATAACCAGAACTGCCAGAAAATCAAACTGTATGGAGGTCCAACAATCAAGGAGTTAAAGAAGAAACATTCCTTCAGACTGGTAGGAGACGGGCAGCCAGGGCGGAGAGAATGTGCGGCAAGGTAGCAGTTGGCAGACTGAACAAGCAAGGTAATGACTGGCAGACTGGGTGGTCCCACATTTGCAGGCAGATAACCAGGAGGAACAACAGGGGAGCAAGACAGGCTGCACAGCCCAGGGTTTCTGTGTGGGGGAAATAAAGCATCAGAACCTCTGGGGGTAAAGACCAGTGTGAGTTGCAAGTGGAGGGAGAAACTCCCAGTTTCACAGGAGAGTTCATTGGAGAGACCCACAGGGTCCTAGAACATACACAAAACCATCCACCTGGGAATCAGCACCAGAAGGGCCCAATTTGCTAGTGGGAAGCAGGGGAAGTGACTGGAAGCTGGTCAACAGCTGAACAAGCAGCATTGTTCCCTCTTGGACCCCTCCCACACATACAGTGCCACAACACATCAATGTCAGTGGCCCTGCCCTGCTGAATACCTAAGGTTCCACCACTTACAACGTAACAGGGGTGCCCAGACAAAAAAATATGGCCCAAATGAAAGAACAGATCAAAGCTCCAGAAAAAATACAACTAAGCAATGAAGAGACTGCCAACCCATCAGATGCACAGTTCAGAACTCTGGTAATCAGGATGTGCACAGAAAAGGTTGAGTATAGTGGCAAAATAGAGGGAAAAGTGAAGGCTACACAAAGTGAAATAAAGAAAAATATCCAGGGAACCAACAGTGAAGGGAAGGAAACCAGGATTCAAATCAAGATTTGGAACAGAAGGAAGAAATAAACATCCAACCAAAACAGAATGAAGAAACAAGAATTCAAAAAAAGGAAGAGAGGCTTAAGAACCTCTAGGACAACTTTAAACATCCCCACATTTGAATCAGAGGGGTGCCAGAAGGAGAAGAGGAAGAATAACAAATTGAAAACTTATTTGAAAACATAATGAAGGAGAACTTCCCCAATCTGGCAAAGGAACTAGAGGTCCAGGAAGTTCAGAGAGTCCCAAAGAAGTTGGACCCAAGGAAACACACACCAAGGCACATCATAATTACATTACCCAAGATTAAAGATAAGGGGAGAATCTTAAAAACAGCAAGAAAAAAGGAGACAGTTACCTACAAAGGAGTTCCTACAAAGGAAATCAGTTAAAACTATCAGCTGACTTCTCAAAAGAAACCTTGCAGGCAAGAAGGGGCTGAAAAGAAGTATTCCAAGTCCTGGATTGAAAGGACCTAAGTCCAAGATGACTCTATCCAGCAAAGCTATCATTTAGAATGGAAGGACAGATCAAGTGCTTTCCAGATAAGGTAAAGTTAAAGGAGTTCATCGTCACTAAGCCCTCATTATATGAAATGTTAAAGGGACTTACCTAACAAAAAGTAGATGATCAAAAATATGAACAGTAAAATGACAACAAACTCACAACTATCAACAACTGAACTAAAACTAAAATAAAAACAAAAACTAACCAAACAACTAGAACAGGAGCAGTTCACAGAAATGGAGATCACACTGGGGGTTATCAGTGTGGAGGAGAAGGGGGGATAATAGGGGGAAAGGTATGGGGAATAAGAAGCACGAATGGTAGATACAAAATAGACAGGGGGACATCTAAGAATAATATAGGAAATGGAGAAACCAAAGACTTATATGTACAACCCATGAACATGAACTAAGGGGGACGATGCTGGTGGAGGAGGGGTGCAGGGCAGGGAGGAATAAAGGAGGAGGGGGGAATGAAACAAGTGCAATAGCATAATCAATAAAATATATTTTTTAAAAATCTCAAACATTGGTTCTTTTGTAGAACTCTATTAAAAATAAAGTATGACTGGGGATAACTTTAAATTGTTATTTTAAGCCAATGAACATTCTTTCATTACACTACTAAACCAAGACACAATTTTACTGTTGGAAGATACCATGGAGGTTATCTCCAGCTAAATCCTTCTTTTAGAAAAGGAGAAAATGCAGAGGTAAGTGCCTTGTTCAAGGCTAATAAGCAGTGGAGGAGGAACTTTAATTAAGGTTTCCTCTCTTACCTCTCAAAAACTTCAGAGATGACAAAAATAACCTATCAACATAGGTTACTCTAATACTATCACCTATCAACATAGGTTACATAATAATACTCTTAAAATTTCCACTGAAAACAGCAAATTAGATTAAAATATTGACTCAATCTTGGAAAATGGTTACCTTTTGTGTTATCTAGAGTACAAATGATTCAGATTTTTTAAAGGTCTTTGGCAAAAATACGTTTTAATGTAATAAAATTTTAAAACAAGTCAAGCATTTAAAGAAAAGGTTTGATACATTATATATGACACATGCTTACTGAAATTCCATTTAATTTATAATATCTGGACATCTCTGTCAAAAATTTTACAACAAGCCCTGGCTGGTGTAGCTCAGTGGATTGAGCACCAGCCTGCAAAATGAAAGGTCACTGGTTCGATTCCCAGTGACCTGGGAATCGAAGCATATGCCTGAGTTGCAGGCCAGGTCCCCTGCCAGGGGCGTGTGAAAGGCAACCGATCGATATACCTCTTGTACACTGATGTTTCTCTCCCTCTCTTTCTTCTTCCCTTTCCCTCTCTCTAAAAGGAAATAAATAATATCCTTAAAAAAATTTACAAGAAAAATTTATGAAAGTTTATATTTGTCATCATTGTTTTTAAGAAAATTTCCTTCAACAGAAATACTTGTAAATGAAATCCTTCAAGTGAACATAAATTTTCTAGATTTTAAACTAAGGTTTTAATACTTCCTTTAGCATTTTAGCATTTTGTTAGTATATTTTTATAGATGCACATAAATTTCTGTAAATACTCTATGAATGAATGGTAACTCTGCTAAACTAAAAACCAGTAAGGAAACTAAGAAACATATCACACATTTTAGATTTTTAAATAAAAATCACCTTCAATACCAAGAAAAGAGTTCTTTTAAATCATGATCTCTGTGGCCTATCTCTTCTGTTGGTAGACCTTAATCATAGCGGACTGAATTGGAGTCAAAGTGGAATTTCTCAGCAGGAGACTGAAACACTCGTTGCTTGGTTGGAAAGGTATCAATAGCGGTTCATTTTAAAAGCACTAACTAGAATTCACAATCCATAAACTGTGTCAAAAATTGTATGGCAATGTTCAGAGGTGGCACAGAACACCTGGGGTTAAAAAAAGAAAAAGGTGCCTGTGTGAATGAAGACTTTCAAACAATAGTACAAAAGAGGGAAGGGAAATCATAAAGAGTTCTTACAAACTGTGTTTCTTTTATTTTAGAATAGCTTTACCTTAGTATATTTTATACTCTTTCTCAAGAAGGAATCAAATTACACTTACATTTTGCAGTTATTATGCAACTGGCCAGAGAAAATATCATGCTGTCTTCTAGGATCTAGAAAACAAAACTAAGTTTAGAAAGTATGAAATGCAAGGTGGCCTGTATCCCCTACTAAAATAACCTCGAGAATAGAATTGAGAGTCAAGGAAAGGGAAAAAAGTATATTATTTCTTAGTTTCACTTTAAAAAAATCTATATAATGTAAACACCAACTAAATATTATATTGCCTTTTTTCCTTTGGTAAACATTTATCAACAATATTACTACCCCATGATACATTTCTGCAAACAAACTGGCTCAGACCTCTCTTTTGGGCTTGGCCTGGTGCAGCAATGAAGCCTCAGGATCAGTGGAGAAGAGCCTGCCACTCACTGTCCTTGGAGTCTGGTTCAATTTCTGCACTCACACACACACCAGGAAACCACTTCTGTCTACAAAGACTTTCACATGTAGAATCAGGATGAGGATTCCTACTATCAAAGGGTGTGGCAGTAACAGTTTTGCTCCTGTCCTTTGCCCGACAACACCGCCCAGTGGTGTGCTGGAGGTAACAGACACACTGAAACAAGCCGTGCTGCCACACCTGGTCACACGGGCGGAGCAGCTTAGTCGATAAAGACTTACAGAAGTCCTCCTATTTTATGATCAGAGAATTTGGACTCAATATTTGTTTACCCAAATACTAAATAATATACAGCTGCTTCAAAGAGCTAAAGAACAGGAGACTAAATATTACATTGTTTATGAATAATGTACATTAAAGAAAAGAAAGCCATTGAATTTTGAAGGAATTTTGAGTTAAATTAATAAAAAACACTCAATATGTATGTGATTATCTTTTATTTGATAAATATTTAACAATTATTTTACCTGTTGGTCATTAAGGTTCCCCTGTACTAAGGAGTCAATGAAAATATATTGACTGAAGTTCCTTCCTTTTCGTTCTTTTATGATTTTCTTCAACATAGATTCCAGTTGCATAAGGGCTTAGAGTAGAAAAACAAAAAAAGATTTTAGAGTATACACATGTATAAAAATTAAACTTTTAAAATATTTCTGTACAGTGTTACCACTGCAGAATAAAATTTTCAAAGGTAAAAGAGTAGTAACCGATTTTTAAAAAAGCTAATTTATGTTTAAACTCATCTACGTTCTCTTCCTTCTTTTTACTAACTTCTGCATATGTACACAAAAGTACATAGACATATATATATGCACAGTTTAAGAAGTAACTGTAAAGCAAACACCTACAATGTCACCACCCAGGCCAAGAAGTAGAACAATGCCAGCACCTTAGAGGCCTCCACACACATATAACCCTCCCCTGACATTATCCACCTTCCTTTTAAATTTTGTCCTCTTAACTTCCTTCTTCTCTGAAATCAGGCATCTCTAATTTAGGGACAGAAACAGATGTGAAATAAGCAGAAAAGTAAATTTCTGAAATTTAAAAGATATAGAATAAATAACTGATATCCAACAATCAATAAAATTATCCAAAGATCATTTCTCAGTCCCCATCTTACTTGCTCTATCACAGCATCTGATGATGCTGATCACTGACTCTCCAGGAAACACACTCCCGTTCAGCTTCCAGAATTCCTCCCTCTCCTGACTCCACACTCCCCGCCCCACACATTACTACCTGTTCATTCGCAGCATCCTTCGTTGATCCCTTCTCATCTCTAGAATTTTTTCACGACAGAAGGTCCAAGGTCAGGACTCAGTGTTTGGACCTCTTCTCTTTTTCTATTTACATTCATTAGATTGGTGATCACCAGTCTCAAGACTTTAAATACAATTTGTGTACTTAATAGTCCCAAGTTTATTATGTCCAGCGAGGACCTCTTTCCCCTGAACTCCAGACTCATATATTTTATAACCATCTCAGCATATCCACTTGGATGTCTGAAGCATATTAAACATACATATCCAATATTGAACTGCTCATATTTCTCTCCAGAGTTGGATCTTCCTAGTCCATCCGATATTACTGCCCCAAAACTTTATATTCGAGTACTCAGGTATAGAACCTTGGTGTCTCATTCTCTCTTATACCACACATCTAATCTGTCAGCCAATGTTGGTGGCTCTGTCTTCAAAATACAGAATTATTTTATTCTACTTTTTTTGTTGTTCTATATTTTCTGCTGCCTGTCACCTAGTCCATACCACATTATTCCTCTTGCTTGGTTCACTGCAATGGCTCCGTAAGTAGTCTTCCCGCTTCTGCTCCGGACACCTATGATCTATCACAGTAGCCAGAGTGATCCTTTGAAAACATAGCTCAGATCATAGCTTTGTTCAAAATCTTCCAGTGGCTCCTTATCTCATATTAACAACCAATTCACACAGTGACCTATAAACCAGACAAAATCTGTCCCTCTCCACAGTCTTTCTGGCCTCATCTCCTTCTATTCCTCTCTGACTCACTTTACTCCAGCCATACCCTGTTATACTTCAGATGTACCAGGGAGAATCCCATCTCAAGGACTTTGCAATTACTTTTCCTCTACATGGAATATTCTTCCCTTGGACATGAGGATATCCGCATGCTCTGCATTGACTGGTTGCCTTATCTCTTAGAAGTATTTGCTCAAAAGTCACCTAATCTTGGTGAGGCTGTTTCTAATAACCTTATTTAAAACTGACCACCCCAATTCTAGCACCCCATTCCCCCTCCTGATTTCATATTCTCCACAGCACTTTTCATATTTTAACATACTATTCAGTTTACTTATTTAGGTTATTGTCTGCCTCTTCCCACTAGAATGTGCTGCCATGAAAATAGGAATTTTTGATTTGTTTTATAATTTTATTTAAAATCAAAAATTATAAATGACTAACTTTCATTCATAGTAATTGAACCAATTTGTGTGAAATACGATTGTTATTAAGGGAATTACTCTAAATGCATCCACCAAAATAGTCAGAATGGGCCCTGGCTGGTCTGGCTCAGTGGGTTGAACACTGGCCTGCAAACTGAAGGGTTGCCGGTTCCATTCCCAGTTGGGGCATGTGCCTGGGTTGCAGGCCACGTCCCTGCTTGGGTGCAAGAGGCAACCAATCGATGTTTCTCTCTAAAGCAATAAACCCCTTCCCCTCTCTCTAAAAGTAAATAAATAAAATCTTTAAAAAAAAGATAATCAGAATGGTATCAAGAAAACCAGATAGCATAAAATGTGTCAGTTAAATTGGCTTTACGGGACTTATGTTGGACATCAAGGGAATCACCAGAATGGTATGTCCCATGAGGACAGGGATTGCTGTCTTCTATACAAAGAAGAATGCCTAGCACATATGGGCCTCAATAAATATTTGTTGAAATAATTAAGGAAGAAAATCCTGGGAAGCAATACTATTATATATGGAAAATAATTCATTATTTCAATGTATATTATGTATTTTAACTTACCCAGCCCACTTCCAAAAAAGAAAATGAAGCAGCTCAGAATAAAGGTATTAAAGCATTACATTCATTAAATTACTGACAAATATATAGAATAAAATAAAAAGGGAGAGAATAATTGGGAAGCCATCTTAAACTGAAATTGCTATTTTTCTGTGTAGAATTTTGCAAAGTTGTAACCAATGCTAAACAATTTTGAATATATTTCCACTTAATGTTATAATGGTAAGAATTTTTTATGTTGCTACATTTTTTACAAATATCTACAAAATACTGAATCATGTTGATATTATTTCCTTAGCAGTTCCTATATTGTTGGACATTTAGACTGTTTCTGGTTTTCTACTTGCAGAAATAGTAGGAACAGAAACATTCAGGGAATGTTTTTCCTTGGATAACTCCATCCATCGTTTATGACTCTTAACACAGGTCATTAAATTGCCTTCCCAGGACTGCACTTTCCATTAATCCTGCAGGCTCTACCAACTCCACAGCATTCTCATTCTGCCGTGTGCCAGAGTTTCATTTCCTAATTCACTGCCTTTTCCTCTCTTGTTTAAGATGAACTTTCATTACAGGAAATGTAGAAAAAAAAACAAATAGAGAAACAGATACATGACAAAACAGAGCACATATCTTTTTGTCTTTACTGAAAATTAAGAGTGGCAAAACTTACCATCTTCATATTGTTTCTTCCGAGTTGTACTTTTATCAAGTGATCCATCTAGAAAGCCTTTTCCAATCTCAGACCAAACCTGAAAATAGGAAGACATACCTGTCATCTAATAAGGAGATTTTCTAAATAATCCCAAGCAATCTAAGCTAATAATTAAGAAACTCCTATCTGACTAACCAAACTGATAATTAAGCTCTCCCTTTTAAATTAGCTACATAATCATTTATTCCATGGTCTCTGAAAACAAAGCAAATATATTTTAACAATTTCAGTCAAGACACTTTCAAACTAATTATAACCCAAAAGTCAAAAGTTCCTTTTCTTTAAAAGGTGTACACATGGGGAGGAAAAGAACATGGCAGTAGAGTCAATTCTTAATTTTTTATTATAATGGTACCAGTGGATAAATAAAATCTATAGGGAAATTCCGTGGGAATTCCAACTTATACTTCACCTGGGATATTGACAAGACTGAGATCCAGAAAAAGGTTAAAAGTAGTCTAAAATTCGAAGATAGTAAACAACAGAATAGGCTTCCAATTGTTTCAAAATTGGTTAATTAGCCTCTGAAAAAACTTCAACTTGTTTATAATTCAAAAGTTCTTAAAGAACTTAGGGAAAAAAACACACCACTTATATTAATCAGTGCTAGATAGTTTAAAAATTATTAATAAAGAGTTCTCAACTATAATCTTACAAAAAGATACACCTTACAGAGTATTTAAATGTAAAAAATTAAACTATTAAAAGCATTATAAAGATATATAGTAAATTTTTACATTATGAATACCCTTAAAGTGAGAAAGGAGTTTTCCAAGCATGACACAGAGAACAGAGCAAAACTTTATCATGAAAGAGTTAAATTCATTTAACTCTTCATTCCATTCATTTAGCTACTCCATCCCAACAACCAAAAGCTGAACAGATGGAAAAATCAACAACTCTCCTTGGATCCCTAAGATACAGGCAAACTGGGGCCTCGAAGACTGGAAAGACAAACAAAAACTGGCAGTCACATCTTACTGAAACAGAATCACAAGTAGAAAACCACCCCAGGAACCAGTGCAAAGGTAGGAAAACCTGAACTATAATTGACAAACTGCTTGAGGCTCAATATATACAACTCTGAGAGTTAAAATCTCAAGAGATAACTAGTCATGGGAGACCCCCAACATATTGTGAGATTTACCTCTGCTTGGTCAGGTTCCCACAGTAAATGCTGGTAAAAACCTCCTCGGGCTCCCAGCAGGGAAGAACCAAATCTGAAATAAGCCAAAGCACCCCATTCATCTTAATACGGCCTATTCTCGTATGAAACTACTTAGCCAACCTACTAGGGTATTACCAAGAGCCTAACTGACCTGGGGAAAGGGAATATCCAAATCCAGTCAGATCTAAGCTTCCACATGGGAGAAAGGAAATGCCAAACTCCAGCCCACTATGGCCTTCCTGTTCCACCTAAAGGGTGAGAAAAAACTGAAAACACTTGTGAAGTTCACAGCACAGAGGAACAGGCTCACTAAAAACACTAAGTTAAGACCAAATTACAGAACTATGGAATGCTTCCCCTTTCCCCACACCTGACCAAAGTCCTATTTACACAAATGTCTTTTAACCAGTATATCGTCACGTCTAGCTACCAAAAAAAAAATATTATAAAAGGCAAAAACACAATTTGAACAAACACAACAGGCATCAGAACAACATATGGCAGGGATGTTGGAATCATCAGCTCAGGAATTTAAAATAACTATGATTAATATGCTAAGGGCTATAAAGGATAATATCCTAAGTGCTCTAAACGACTCTCAGGTAAAGGGGAAAGTATATAGCAAGCAAGACAAGACAGTCAATGTAAGCAGAGAGATGGAAATCCCGAGAAAGAACTGAAAAGAAGTGCTAGAAATCAAAAACACTATAAACAGAAACAAAGAACCCCTTTGCTAGACTTATTAGTATACTGGTCACAGCTTAGATACAATCTCTGAGCTATAGGATATATCAATAGAATCCTGAAAAACAGTTTGCTATAAAACTAAACACACTCTTCCTATAAATCCAGCAATCCCAACCTTTAGTATCTACCCAAGAAGTTGGAAACATGCCCACACAAAACCTGCACACAGATGTTTATAGCAGTTTTATTCATGACTGCCAAAACTGGGAAACACTGAAATGTCCTTTAGTAGGTGAATGGATAAACTGTGGTACAACCAGACAATGGAATAGTATTCAAGGCTAAAAGAAATGAACGATGAAGCCCTGAAAAAACAAGTAGGAAGATTAAACACCTATTTCTAAGTGAAAGAAGTCAGTCTGAGAAGACTACATACTGTATAATTCCAACTATATGGCATTCTGGAAAAGACAAAAGTATGGGCACAGTAAAAGGATCAGTGGTTGCCAGAAGTTGGCAGAGGAGGGGAAAGATGAAGACGCAGAGCACACAGCATTTTTTAAGGAGGTGAGAATACTCTGCGTGACAAAATAATGGATAAATATCATTATATGTTTATCAAAACCCATTAATATACAACACTGAGCGTAAATCCTTAGGTACACTTCGGGGGATTAGGATGTGTCAATACAGGTTCATCACTGGCAAAAAATGTACCGTTCCGGTGAGTGATGTTGATAACGGGGGAGGCTGTGCATGTGTAGAAGCAAAGGGCATATGGGAAATCTCTGTACCTGCCTCTCAGTTTTATTATAAACCTAAAAATTATTTAAAAAATAAAGATTTTTTAAAAAGCACTACAAATAAAAGTGAAAGCAAAAGAAAACTGAGAAAAGAACAAAGAGCTCTTGCAGATTAGTAAGAAAAAGAAACATATCAGTAGAAATATGGGCACAGTATATGAGAAAACATCCCACAAAAGAAGAAACACAAGTTTTCAACACAAATATTAAATAATGTTTAACCTCACAAACAGTAAATTATACATTTTAATCATGAAATATCATTTTTTAATGACTAGGTAGGCAAATATTTAAAGGACAAACAATTCTAAATGTCAAAAGCACAAAGAGCACACTGATGTTGGTGGGAAAAGAACTGAGATGGTGTGTTTGGAGAAACATTATGCAGCTGAATGTGAAGTGCACCTTTTTGCACACCTAACACCTGTGAAATTGGTATGCGTCTCACAACTGATGACATCTCCCAACTGCTGTCAGTCAATTGGTTATTATCCCTTGTGACATAAATCCCTTTTAATGTGTCTCAGACATTAAAAGATCATTTGAGGAAGACTTCAATTCATGTTTATAGTCTAAAAACTTTCCTTTGACAACTTCTGGTAATGTTAAAAAATACCAGATTCCTTCTAAAAAACATAATTTGAATCTGCTCAAATACAAATTGGGGAACATTCAACATAATAATTGGCCTGTATTTTTTAAAAAGTGTCAAGGTCAAAGAAAATAAAGAAAAAACTGAGGAACTCTTTCACATGAAAGAGGTTTGGCCACTAAAGTGAAGAAATCTGAATATAGGCTGTGGTTAATAGTGTTGTACAATATGAATGTTAAATTCCCCAAGTTTGAAAACTATATTTTCCCTATATAAGAGAATATTCCTGTCTTTAGGAAATCCAGCCTGAAGAATTTAGGGAGAAAGAAGCAAAGTGTCTACTTGACACTCAAATGGTTCTGGTAAGGGGGAGAAATGAATAAGTAGATAGATAGATTGATAAGGACAATCACAAATATGGCAAAATGTAAACCACTGGTGAACCTGGAGAAATGATACATTGGAGTTCTTTGTACTAGTTGCAACTTTTCAGTAAGTTTGAAATAATTTCTACTTTGAAATTATGCCAGTACAAAAACATGCAGAATGGGTTAGAAGAAAATCGTAGAAGTAACAGTTGAGGTCTCTTTTAAAAAATATTCTCTAGTCAATATGCAAAAATATCAGACAGCCCTGGCTGGTGTGACTCAGTTGGTTCGGCATCGTCCTGCCAGCTGAAAGGTCACAAGTTCAATTCCTGGTCAAGGCACATGCTAGTGTTGCAGGTATGGTCGGTCCCCTGTCTGGGTGTGTGCAAGAGGCAACTGATGTTTCTCCCTCACATCGATGTTTCTCTCTCTCTCTTACCCCCCCCACCCTCTCTCTAGAATCAATAAAAGAAACATTAAAAAAAAATAATAGCTCTAATTTAAAAAAAATTAGACAAAACAACTTAGTCAAAAATTAATTCTTCATTAAAATACGAAAACATTTTAGGAATTCTTTAACTCATCTACTTTGCCTGAGTATACAGAGTAGTTTATCTAGAAAGTGAAATTTAGAGTGATTTTCCCACTTCTATTCTTATGTTCTGGAATGTTTTATTTAAAAAAGTATGTTTTTTAGTCTTCAAACAAAAGTAATAAAACAATTTTAATGTAAAAAGTGCAACACTAAATAGTGACAAGGTGTTAAGCACAGTCACTAATGATTATTGTTTTAAACACATTATCTTGATTATTTAACCAGTTTTATAGATTTGAAAACAATAAGGAATAATCTCTCAGATATCTAATATGCTATAAATGATCTAAGTATAATTTGAATAAAAAAATTAATTTAATGTTGAGTTTGATAAATGAGATTATTTATTCTAGTTCAGTGATGAATGCCATACAGATGGCCACCAGATATATGAAAAGATGTTCAACATCACTAATCATCAGGGAAATGCAAATCAAAACCACAATGAGATATCATCTCATTCCTATCAGAATGGCTGTTACCAAAAAGTCAGCAAATAAAGTGTTATCGAGGATGTGGAGAAAAGGGAACCTGTGTGCACTGTTGGTGTAAGATTATAAATTGGTGCAGCCACTATAGAAAACAGTATGGAGATTCCTCAAAAAATAAAAAATAGGGTTGCCATATGGCCTGTATTTATCTGAAGAAAATCAGAACAAGAGAATGAGAAAATAAGAAAATTATAAAAGATATACAGGCCCTAATGGGTAGCTCAGTTGATTAGAGCATTGTCCTGATATATACCAAGGTTGCAGGTTTGATCCCCAGTCAGGGCACATATAAGAATCAATCATGAATGAATAAATAAGTAGAATAAATATGTAGAACAACAAAATCGACGTTTCTTTCTGTCTCTATCTCTCTCTCCCCCCACTCTCTTTCCCTTCCTCCCTTTTTCTCTTTTTCTAAAATCAATGGATTAAAAAAGAAAAAAGATATATGCACTCCTAAGTTCGGTGTAGCATTACTTACAATAGCTAAGATATGGAAGCAACCTAAGTGTATATCAGTAGATGAATGAAAAAGAAGATGTAGTATAAATATACAATGGAATATTACTTAGCAATAAAAAAGAATTTTCAACAACATGAATGGACCTCTAGAGGGTATTTTGCTAAGTGAAATAGGTCAGAGAGAGACAGACAAATACATGATTTTACTTACATGTAGAATCTAAAAAATAAGCAAAACAAATGAATAAGTAAAACAGAGCAAAAACAGACCCAAAGATACAGAGATCAAACTGATGGTTGCTGGAGGAGAAGTGGGTGGGAGGTTGGGTGAAAAGGTGAAGGTGAACAGGAGGTACTAACTTCCAGTTATAAAATAAATAAGCCACAGGGATGCAGTGTTCAGCACAGGGAACATGTCAATAATGTCATCACAACTTTGCACAATGATAGATGGTTACTAGACTTATTGTGGTGATCTCACTGGCAGGGGTATCCAACCTCTTGGCATCTCTGGGCCACAATGAAAGAAGATTTGTCTCGGGCCACACATTAAATACACAAACACCAACAAAAACAAAAAAAAGCTCACAATGTTTTAAGTAAATTTACGATTTTGTGTTGGGCCACATCATAGTCATCCTGGACTGTGTGCGGCCCACAGGCTGCAGGTTGGACACTCCTGCAGGCATATAAATGTTAAATCACTATGTTGTACATGAAACTAATATAATATTGCATGTCAATTACACTGTAATAAAAAATATATATTTTTTTTTAAATAGAGAAAAATCAATTCTGAAAGGGCAAACAGTAAATCAATTTTAAAGTGAATTAGCCTTTCTTCAAATCATATTCATCTCATTACATTTTAACGCTCAGGGGCTTTAACTTCTTTCTACATAAGACATAGTACAGTTCTATTAAATACAGTTTTTCTCTCTATCCTAGAATCCGGTATTATTTTATTATATACTTGAAAAGTATTAAAAGAAAATTTCTTTAGTTAACTAATTTTTAAATTTCAAAATGTACTTGCAAGCAAAAAGTAATTCTTAAATTAAAAAAAAATACAAAAATCATCTTTGTTTACATTGTTGTTTTTAACCCAAAACAAGGAAATTCTATACTATACAATCTTAGACCTTATTCTTGAGATGCAAAATCTACATTATTTAACTATTCAATTTGATGAAAGAATAATTTAAATTTGGCCCTAGACTTACTATGCTGTGATTCTTCTGGAAGCGAATGACTTCCTGGTCATCTTCAAACGTACTACCCATCACCATCTGGGTAACAGACTTCACAGCAAAGCCAAGCATGTGCTGGCAAAGGGGTACGTGCTGGGACTCTGGGTAGGAGAGCCATTTATCTAATAATTCTTCTGAAAGCTGAAAGAGAATGGAAAATCACAATGATTTACTGTTTCCTCTCGCAAATCTTAGAAAAATTCATCAAGTAGGTTCATTTCACAGAGTACACAGCTCAACTCAAACCAAGCAAGCATTCGGGTGATGAGCTGATCTGTCGGGCTGCTCTGGCTCCACCTAACATCACATGCTCAGTGGTTCAGATTCAGATTCTGTCCAAGGGTTGATCTGTGAAACAGAACAGAACTGCCACCACCATCACAACAACAAAATATATAATTTAAAAGTTCAAAGGCTGGCAACACCTTAAAAATAATGAAAATTAAGCGACTAAAATCTTAGTATCTGATTAGAAATAATAAAGGTTCACCACGGAGTATCTGTGGCATATAGTAAACAATCAATAAATTTACATGACTATGTAAAAGTTCTAGTCATGCTCTCATATCAGAAAACTCTCAGAGTCTCTTTGTCATTTCTAAATTCAAATATTTATTAAATCCCTTGTAGAATATAAACAGTGTGTAGGAAGAATATCAGAGCTTTGGAATCAGAAAAACCTTCCTTGGTGTTATTTCTGGCTCTCACTTAGAAGTAATGTGACTTTGAGCAATTTGCTTAATTTTTCCAATGTACAGATGTCTCAACAGTTTAATAGGAACAACATCTTCTGCCTCGCACAGTTGCTGTGACTGGATAATTATATGCATGTCATATAAGGTGGTAACAGCTTTGTGCAGTGATAGATATAAAGCCCTTTCAGGTTAGGAACTCAAATTTAAGCTCTTTTCCCATAGCATCTCCATGACAATTTTGTCACAGTATAAAGGATTAAAATCAATTTTCTGAGAAACAGATAAATATTCAAAATGAAAGATATGCATGAAATAGGTTTAACCTACTTAAAGTGGACTGTATGGAATCTAACATTGTTTTCGGAAGAAGGAAAGGGAAGCCTTCTTGATTCTACAGTATCAAGATTAATGAATTGAGCTAGGTAATACATTTTACTTTTATTTTTTGGTAATATGTTTTAAAAGAACTCTTTGATGAAGAACTCTTCAGAGTTGAAGTATAAAGAAGATAGGAAAATAATAATTAAAATAGAACATAACTATATAATTAAAAATAACTTTCATATTACTAATGAAATAATTCCATGTGCTTTAAAAAGCTAGAATTCAGTAGTTATTACTGAGATCACATAGCTTCCTTTATACTAAAAAGTAAAAAAAGATTTTGGAAGCAAACCATGCTGTTTTTAGGTGAAAACAGAAGAGCCCATATAAATATGACATACAGCTAATGACAGAAGGTCCAATTGGAAAGGCAAACACTGGGGAAGAAAGCTTTCTTATAAAAGAAATAATAAAACAATGAATAGATGTAACATAAACCCATCAGACTTATTTTTTCAAACACCACAGTTCATTTGCTTTAGAAAATATTTTATTTCTTAGTAAGTATGGGATTTTTGCCTCAAAACAATACTAGGAAAAGCATGTGACTTGAAACCATCTCTGCTTTGTGCACAGACGGCAAGTTAACTGGGTGTCAACGTTCATCCACTTAGATACCCAATTGTCAAACCTTACCTTCTTCATCACTCAATCTACTTCCGAATGTTGTCAAACCTTACCTTCTTCATCACTCAATCTACTTCCGAATGTTGTCAAACCTTACCTTCTTCATCACTCAATCTACTTCCGAATGTTGTCAAACCTTACCTTCTTCATCACTCAATCTACTTCCGAATGTTGTCAAACCTTACCTTCTTCATCACTCAATCACTCCTGAATGTTGTCAAACCTTACCTTCTTCATCACTCAATCTACTCCTAAATGTCTAATCCTAAATTATCAGGCCCAACCCATGTGACAAAACTACACCCGCATGACTTACAGCCTTTGTGTTGACCCATTTGTTTGGGTTTATGACAAGTACCACATGTCAATGCTGACCCTTTATCTTATATATATGGAGGATTAAATGAGTTTATTAAGCTATTAAACCAATGAACTCAAAAATTTTGGCTATTAATATTATTACTAAGCTATCAATTAAAAGGACAGTCATAAGTTCTAAAATCCAAAAATACTTGTTAAATCAGAATGGAGACCCAAAGTCACAGGATAATATTCGCTTGAAGCACAAGGAAGAGAGAAGTGACACTCACAGAATAAAAGTGGAGGTTCGCACTCAGCCTTGGAGCAGAGACGGTCAGGGCAGGAAGGAGTCAGAGCACATAGGACGAGGTCTGAGAGGATTAGAGAAGAGTCAGAACACAGAACTTAGGTCTGGGCCAAAAAGAAAAAGCTAAAAGGTTTAGTGTGTCAGTATGGAATATACAACTTAATGTGGAGTGACAACTCTGGTAAAGAGTTATTCTCTTAAAGAATACCACTGTGAGTTCCTGCCAGGATGGAGGTGCAGGTAGAAACCCTTTGCTTCCTTGCACAACCGAAAGGAGAATAACACCTATCTAAAATCAATAAACAATCAAAAGTAACAGAAAATCAAACTCCATGAAACTATGACAACCAAGGAATTAAAGAAAAAATCAACCAGAACAACCAGACCGGTAAGGTGGTGGACCACTCAGACGACTCAGAAAAACCACTGAGAGGCAGCGAACCAGGCAGTGAACCAGGCAGGCAGGGCGGCTATGGTGAGGGTGGCTGCATGGGCGGGGCTGACTGAAGGGGAATCAGAGATTCAGAGCTGACTGTGGACTATGGTGGTTGCTGCAGTGGGAGAAGCTCCCAGTCTCACACAGGAGTTTGTTGAAAAGTGCACTAGAGATGAGCAGGTGAGACGCACTATTCCCTCTCTGAATCCTCCTCCATAGACAGCACCACAACCAGCAAGGAGGGTTGCTGTGCCTGGGTGAATACCTAAGGCCCTGCCCCCTTACAGCCTAACAGCTGTGCCAAGACAAAGAAATATGGCCCAAATGAAAGAACAGAGCATAACCTCAGAAAGAGAACTAAGTGACGAGATAGCCAACCTATCTGATGGAGAATTTAAAGCCCTAGTAATCAAAACGCTCATAGAAATGATTGAACTTGGTTGAAAAATGAAAAAAACAAATGAAGGACACCCAAAATGAAATAAAGCAAAATATTCAGGAAACCCACAGTGACAGGTAGGAAACCAGGACTCAAAGCAATGATTTGGAACAATAGGAAAAAATAAACCGGGAAAAAATGAAGAAACAAGAATTCAAAAAAGTGAAGAGACTCTTACAAACCTCTGGGACAACTTGAAATGTTCCGAATTATAGGGGTGCCAAACGAAGAAGAATAAGAGCAAGAAATTGAAAACATATTTGAACAAATAATGAAGGAAAACTTCCCCAATCTGGGAAAGGAAATAGACTTCCAGGAAGTCCAGGAAGCCCAGAGTCCCAAAGAAGTTGAACCCAAAGAAGAACACACCAAGACACATCATCATTAAGTTACCCAAGATTAAATATAAAATCTTAAAAGCAGTAAGAGGAAAGGAGAGAGTTACCTACAAAGGAGTGCCCATAAGGCTATCAGCTGATTTCTCAAAAGAAACCTTGCAGGCAATGGGCTGAAAAGAAGTATTCCAAGTCATGAAGGCAAGGACCTACACTCAAGAGTACTCTATCCAGCAAAGCTTTCATTTAGAATGGAAGGGCAGATAAAGTGCTTCCCAGATAAGGTCAAGTGAAAGGAGTTCATCATCACCAAGCCATTATTATATGAAATGTTAAAGGAACTTATCTAAGAAAAAAAGATAAAATATATGAACAGTAAAATGACAACAAACTCACAACTATCAACAAATGAACCTAAAAGAAAAGAAAAACAATGAAAACAAAAACAAAGCCAACAACCAGAACAGCAGCAGAATCAGAGAAATGAACATCACACAGAGGGTTTTCAGTGGGGAGTGGGAGGGAGGAATGGCAGGGAAGGCACAGGGAAGAAGAAGCATAACTAGTAGGCATGAAATAGATGGGAAGAGATAAAAATGGTATAGGAAACAGAAGACTCAAAGAACTTGCATGTACAACCCAGGGACATTCACTAAGTGGGGAGGATGCTGGAAGGTAGTGGGGGCTGGGTGGAGGGGGTATAAAGGGGGAAAATTGGGTAAACTATAATAGCATAATCAATACAAATACTTAAAAAAAGAATACCACTGGTAGAAAGACAGCAGTACTCTTCAATCAGGTACTCTCTGATTAAACATTTAATTGGTATTTCTGACTAATGCCTAAGCCAAGTTACTGGCTTGTGCTATGGAATTTACAATAAAAATCTGAAACACATTTCTCACATATGGACCCAGTCTGGACCAAAGTTTGAAAATATGAAGACAAAAACATGAAAATTGGGAAATAATTTTCCACTTTAATTTGCATTTGATCAAGCAGGAGGAAAAGAAAAATGGAATACAGAACAACCACAGAAAAAATAGAAAGTTTAGGAAATAGTCTATGGTAAAAGATTAAAGAACTTAGAATCACTTACTTTGAAGCAGAGAAGAAAGAATAATTAAGCCTTTTAACAATAAATATTGCTGAAAAGAAAATGGCATTATAGCAAAGCAAAGAGAAATGGGCAAAATTCCCTGGAGATATGTAACTAAATACAAAAAGATTCTTACTAACAAATTTAATGTGCTCTAACAAAACAGAAAGGAAGATTTTGACTGGTGAATGCTCAGAGACAGGCAGCCTAGCTGCTTCCAGAAAGGACGATGAGGGGTGGCAGGCACAGCTGTGACAACCAAGCAGGCGGCCCGAGAGATCCAGAGAACATGGGGTGAGCAGGGCCAGTGTAAAACCTTGAGATGCAAAACATGAATGATAACAGTGAGAGGGCAAGAATTTGGTATACAAGTCTCCTGATGGCCCTCTGAATGATGGCTAGAAGTTAGAAATTGGGACTGGAAAGGAGGGAAAAAGCAGCAGCCAGACATGGTTAAAGGCCTTGTCTGGTCTGTTTTCAGAAGCAAAACTATGCAGAGAGGAGCCGATTAATGCTTCTGGTAGACTCAGCAAGCAAGTCTGAAGTCTTAAATGGAAAGCGTGGGTTTCAAATAGAACTCCAATAAGGAAAATATGGCATTAACCATTTACCAAATCTAATTTTTAAAAAGTGGATACTGTAGGACATGACATCCTCCTAAGAGCTATCAGGTATTCTATAACTCAAAAAAGTTACAAAATTGCTTAAAATATGTGGTTAGAACATTTTTAGGAGGAATGAACAAAGTTATAGAAGAAGGAAAAAAAACTGATCAAGTAGCTATTATATGCTAAACACTGTTCAGCACTTTAAGAAGCATGTCCTCAGTATGATGTCTAGAATTTGCTTTAAAATAACCAAGAGACAGGACAGGGGAAGTATTTCAATAAGTAGGGGCAGAGATAAAATAAAATTGAGTCTAATTTGATAACTGTTAAAGTTTGGTGACAAAGACATGGATGGTCATTACAGTCTTTTCTATTTTTTTTCTTTAAAATTTTCATGACTTTAAAAATTATTTACTCTGTATCATGAGAGAGTAAGTGGGGGGTGTTCACTTCCCAGTGAAAGTGGGTTTGCTCTCTATACACTAGAAAGGACTTCTACGTAACTCTCCAAATAAGATAGTTACAGGCCTATCAACTATAAAACCCTCATGAAAGAAGGAATGAAGCAGCCAAGTTGCAAACATTAATATGAAGGTGCAGTTTCAGGGGAGCTGGAAAAATATATGCAAGAAGAAAGGTTAGAGGAACAGAAGAATGTGCGTGGAAAACACAGGAAACGAATGGCAGGAAAATCTATTTCTCAGGCAAAGGAGAAGGAAAGGTATTTCTTTTTTCTTTTTCTTTTTTCTTTTGGAAAGGTATTTCTTGAGTAGTTATTGTATTCTAAGACCTGTTGTTATGCATTTTACATCATTATCTCCTATAATCCCCACAGCAAATCTGTAATGTAGATATTATTATCCTCAATTCAAGATAAGGAAATAAAAGCTCACAAAGGCCACATAATACACAAAGGATCATACAGATACTAAATGACAGCAGCAAGATTTAAAGCTTCTTGCCCAAGCTTAATAGTCTTTGCATTATACAATAATCTATTCCCCAAGGAGCTATGTTAAACATACAACAAATAAATAGCTTTGTTTAAAGTATACAGATTACAGAAAAGGGGAAGGAAAACACAATCTAAGAAGGAAGAGAGATAACAACATCTATTTAATCATGTTCTGTAAGCACATCCAGGTTGTTATGGCAGTTTAGAAAGGGTGCATGGGGAAAGGAATATAACTGTAAACTGGGGACTGGAGTAGGAGTTAGCAGGGCAAGGGGCAGGGGGGAATGTTTCCAGGGAGAAAATAGCAAGAGTAGAGCCATAGAGGTAAGAGAGACAATGCATTAAGGAAGTTTAAAGTTGATCAGTATTCATTCTCTGATTTAATAAATATTTACCGAAGGCCTATTTTACACCAAGAGCCAAGTGTACAGTAGCAATCAAAACAGAAAAGCCCCCCCCCCTTCATGGCACATACAGTTTAGGAGACAATCAAAGAATTAGACAAAATATAATTACAAACCGGGAAGTGTCATGAAGGAAAAGCACGTGAAGCCTGTGAAGCCAGCATCTAAAGGGGGACTTACCTAGGAACAGAGAGATGATCAGAGATGGCTTCCCTGGGGAAGCACATTTACACTAAGAGCTAAGAATGAACATGCACTAACGAAATGAGTGGATGGCTAGGGAAGACCATGAAGGCAATGGGAATAGAATATAGAAGCCTTCAGATCGGACAGAACAAGGTGCGGTACAGAACTAAAGAAACCAGTATACCTAGAGTGTGAGCCCAGATGAGAATGTGGGGCACGAGGCTGGAGAAGTAGGCAGGCTAAATAGATCATATGTGGTCTTTAAGAATACTCATACACTTGGAGTTTGTCCCAGGAACAGAGGGAAGCCAGTGAAAGTTTTTGATCAAGGGAGTGATAAAATAAGAATTACATTCTAAAACCATCTATTCTCAGGTGTTCTTAACTTCAAGTCTACAGACCCCAAAGGGTCTGTGCATAAAGTCTAGGAGTCCATGAACTTGGATGAAGAGGCAAAAAAAATCTTTATTTTCCACAAACCTCTAAATAAAATTTAGCATTTCCTTCAATTACGAATATAGGCCCTTTCACATCATATTACAGTCACTACAAAAATCTCAAAAAAATAGTTTTGTCCCTCATAACATCATAACTTTAAAATCACGGAAGTTCTGAAAGCACTGCTAGATCTTGCTATTTAATGTATTAATATTGAAGCACATAAATTACATTATTACAAATTTTAAAAAAATAGTATCTTGATAACTTCCTTGGTCTCCTTTGTAGTTACACATATTCAAATGTCATTCTCAGAAAGAGTCCATAGTTTCACCAAGATCCCCAGGGGAACATATCATAAAATAAGTTTAAGAATCCCCACAACAAGCGGAAAACAAACAGATGCAGGGAAACTGAGAGAGGAGGTGGGGAAACAAGCAATCAAGTAAGATGAGGGAAGTTTAAACTAAGATGATGGCATTGCTGGTGGAGAGAAGACCAATATGAAAGATATTCAGGAGATAAAATTGACATTAGAGACTCTTTTGAAATGTAATTTTCAAAGAATACTTTGTTATAAAAATGCCAATAATATAATGGTAAGTGAAAAATGCAATCTAAAACTACCCATATTGTATGACACTGATTAAAATTCTACTGTGCACTGAGAAAACTGGAATGATATAAAAGTATTTTGATATACTGAACATGATTTTCCGTGGGTAATAAATAATATTAAAAATGTTATTTTTCCTTAGGATGTTTCTAAATTTTTTTATATTTTGTAAAATGACTATCAGAAAAAAAGCCTAATTTTAGTTATTCTTGAACATTTTTAATGACAAGTAAAATGTTTATAATCTGTATTAATGTGAAAAGTATATAAAACTGTACATATGGTATGATCTCAACCATATGTGTATCTTTAGGGAAATTATGGATGATTTCTTTATACTGTTAGATTTCCCATGTTTACTAAAGCAAGCACATATTGTACTGTAAATTATAATATAGTTAAAGGGCACAAATGCATGGATTAGCTTTGGACAGAAGGAAGGATTCTGTAAGATTTAACATGAAATGAACAAGGACTGAGATGGACAGAGTTTGTTGGTGGGGGAATAGGAGACGAGAGAGTTCACATATGAGGGACTCTCTAGTCTCAGCAAAGCAGAAGGCAAGGACATGTATAGGAAGCAAAAAGGGTGGGTAGGACTAGTAATACTGCATTCAGAATGAAGGTTTGGAACAACCCTATGGGGACACAGAGAACTGTCAGAAAGCACATGGCTCAACTAAGGTTCTTTAGGGACAAAAGGGGATGGTATTAATCAGTATTATTTTCATATTTGTCAATCATTCGTGGAGCTTCTTAAAAATGTCAGAGCCCCCTCCCAGTGACCCAGGTAATCCAAACAGAGTCTAAGCAATCTGCATTTTCAACTGGAGAGTGTTGCAGGTGAGCATTGCAGGTGAGCTCAGACCACATTCTGGGAAACAGTGGTTCTGAGTCTGGCCCGAAAATGAAAGACAAATTTATGGATCTAGAAAATTTTTTCAGGTTCTCTCCACTCCCATAATTTTAATTTATACAGGAGACAAGGTGTTTTTTGTTTTCTTTTTTGTTTGTTTGGTTTGTTTTACAATTTTAGGAGAATAAGGATCAGCTTAGAAAGACAGATGAGAAAAGAGTAGCAAAGGCAAGACACAAAATAGTCGAAAAATATACTCTTATCTGTACTGCAGACCTCCAGGCCAAACTACTTAACACCTTACCTTTAACAGGAGAGCAAAGTTACTCTTCAGAGAATTAGTCACACCATTTTCATACAGTTTTTTTCTTGTGAAGTTTTCACTCACATTCCCACCAACAGATTGATACCTTAATAACGACTTGAGCATTGTTTCAAAAGGGTCCGCTGAAACAAATTAAACATTTTTAAGTCAAAGTAATCACTCAAACAAAACAAAACAAAATAGAAAAAACACCTCCAGCAAAAGGACACAGAGATCAGGGAAGTATGGAATTTTAACTGAAAGCAACTTTTTTTTCCCCACAACTCCCTTAAATGTCTTTCCTACATATGAGAGGTTCAATAGGCAATAAAAATTGGCAAGGGTAGAATATCCTGACTGGAAATTTCACTATAAACAATTCATACTTGCATAAATTTTCTTCCTACATGACAATATTGTTGACTTTATAAAAACAGCTCATCCATTGATTTTAAAGAAAAACATGATGCTGTGTAATTATCAAGTATTAGAGTTAAAATCACTTAGCTGAGTTAAAAAATTTCTTTTCTCTTTTTTCATTATTTGAAGTGTTTCCTTAATGACTTTGTTTTCATACACATACCAAAATACATTCTCATGGTAAACAATCAAAACACAGTAAAATACAGTGAAGAAAGTAAAATGCATCTAAATCTCACCACAGAGATTCTCACTGTTAAAAGTTTTAGAGATTTTTTTAGAGCTGTTAACATTTCTTCACAGAGACAGACAGAAAAATCTGTCAGAGTTCACAAAGAACTACAGTCCCTTCTTTCAGAGCACTTGTCTGGGTTCATTAGTGTGATCATTTGAATGCTTTTTACATTCTTTTCCTACTCCCCAACACTAAGGTATAAACTCCACAGGAGCAGAGACCACACCTGGTTTCACTCAGCATTGCATTTCCTGACAGAGCCATCTTTCTGTCGTGGAAACTGAGCACCAATTCAGGCCAGACTGCCTAGCTTCAAGCCTCAGTTCCATCACTAATTAGTAGTATGATCTTGGGCAAATGACTTAACCTCTCTACCTCAATTTTGTCTTTTGTTAAATGGGAATAACCAACAATACCTATTTCATCAGGTTGTTCTGAGGATTAAATGAGTTAATATTGATGAAGGTTTATAAAAATAGTGCTAGCATAGTAATTGCTATGCAAGTATTTGTAAATAAAATAAATATATATCATTATATTAAGGCCTAAAAGTAGTATTACAAATATTATTTTATGCTTGATAAGTATAATCATGTTGATTGATAAGTATTTATCTGCTTCTTATTTATATTATAAATACTGCTAATAGGTCTTATTTCATTGATTATCAATTCATGATAAATTCCTGAAGATTATTACTGCTAAATCAAATATCACTGCCAGCCTTCTGTCCAGAAAGTCTGTAAAACATTTCTACTCTATGTTTCTCCATTCCTGCCTCAACAATGAGTTTTGTCAATATTGTCCATATCTTTGGTCAGGCAGGGAAAACCTCATCTGTATTTGCATAGCAGTGATTATTAGTGAGGTTGGAATGTTTTCATTTGCTCATTGGACATTTATATTTCTTCTTTCTTAATTACCTTGTTTTTACCCATTTTTCTACAGTTGAACTTTATTTTTTTCTTATTAGTTTTTATTTACTTTTTAAATATATATGTGGGAAATAGTTTTTCCATTTCTTTTAAACTTTTTCATAACTTTTTATTTTACAAATATATAATCATCAATTAATACACATGTATAGTAATGAGTAGCCAACATTTTCCCATTTTTCTCTTTTTCAGCCTTTTCCAAGGCATTTCTATGCACTAAAGTTTCTCATTTTCATGTAGACAGATTTATCCATCTTGTGCTTGATGGCTCCTAGATCTCATGTCATGGTAAGAAAGGGTTTGCCAACACTCCCCTCAAAAATTTAATATCTAACTATGTTTTCTTCTGTTATTTTTATGACACTATATTCTAATCATTTGGAATTTATTTGGACAAAAAGAATAAGGCAGGGATTCAAATTTTCTCCCAAATAGATAACCAGTTTTCCCAATCCCACTTATTAGCTTTCCCTTTTATCATATGTATACTTGGTTTTTCTACTGAACTATTTAGTCAATTCCTAAATAGGAATTAGTCTATTATTAGTCTATTAGTCTATTACTAGGACTAATCTAGTCCTATCACAGTACAAGATTCTTTAAATTAATCTAGCTTTATAATAATACACTGTTCTATCTGATGGTAGAGGTATTCTCCTCACTAATGTTCTTTTCTAGACGTTTCTTGGCTGCTCATGTATATTTACTCTTCCACATGTATACTGAAATTATTTTTCCAGGTTCCCTCAAAAAATTTACATTGAGATTTTTTACACACACACACACACACACACAGGAAAGGGGACCCCCAAAAAGCTGGAATTATCTCCTGCAGGGTGGGCCCCTTGTAGTACACACTTCCCCTGCTAGGGGAGTGTTCTAGGAAATTATCTGTATCAATGTACCAGCTGGCATTGTTGTGAGAGGCTGCATTCGGCTTCAGTGAATTTTTTTTTTTGAGGACTCGTTCAACACTGCCCATTTCATGGTGGGTGATTTAGGAGTGCACCTGCCCACACTGCACAGAGTGTTCAGCAGTTTTTGACCAAAAACAGCATGACCGTGCCCTACTGCCCCCTCTTCACCCGATCTCACCCCAAGCAACCTTTTTGGTATCCCCAGGGGAAAAAAGTCCTCAAAGGGAAACGCTTTGCTGATGTGGAAGAGGTGAAACAAATGGGCAAGGGCACTAAAAAGCATCAAAATCAATGGAGTTCAAAAACTGTTTTGAGCAGTGGAAAAAACATCTCAATAGGTTATTGTATCAAATAGAGAATACTTTGAAGGTGACTGAAATTTAAACATGTAAGAATAAATGCAAAAGTTTTTATAAATATATCCTGGTTTTGTGGGAGTCCTCTCTCTTATATACGAAAAAATAATCATTTTATAATACTGTTTCTTAAATGTAGTACATAGTATAGAGCACTCAACAAATGTTGCTATTCCTATCTGAGAACAATGTAGTTCTTTATACACATTTCTTCTTTAAAGATAAGGATCAGCTAACTAGAAAGAAAATTAAACTTACAGGTCTGATTGGGGTTGATATGCTGCTTCAGGACATCAACAGTGCCCAAACTAACCACAAGGCGCCTGCCAAACCAGAAGGAGACTACAGGCCCATGTCTCTCATGCAAATTAACCAGGAACTCATGCAGACTTCCACTGTTCACAATATCTGGAAGATTACCATCTCTGAGGAAAGAACATTTGACAAAACAATCAATTTACCTTGGAATAATCAGAAGAGCAACAATTAATTATGAATTAACTGTGTCAAGACATGAGATCAAAGGTACATGAATTTCAATTACTGCAAAACCGAAAACTCAATTATATTTGACATTTTGTTTTCTATAGATATATTTAGATATGGATTTGTCTGATATTTTGAGAGTTCATAACACTCGAAAACAAATAAGAAAGGTACACAAGAAACATCTGACTAAGACACTAGAAAACAACCCAATTTTTAGAGCACCTCATTCTGAGATAGATGTTCACCTCAATGAACATCACCACAGGCTGATGAAAAACATTAGATCATCTACGGCAAATTTTTTCTCTGTTCCTTCTATCTTAGTCCTGACTATTTTCAACTTTCTCTGGCTAGGGGAAATGAAAGTAATTGAAGGTTTTGATTTATACAGCCTTCCTTTCTGTTCTTAATGAAGTTTATGTTGTATGCCAAGAGGCAAGTCAAGAGTAAATAAAGGAATTAAATGAGCTGATTGATCTAAAAATGTGGTTTACTTTCAATACCAAAAATTAACAGTTGACTCCATTTGATTCCAAAAAAAATAATTACTCACTTTTCTTCAGTTGGAGTAATCCCCGGAATTCCCGCAGCTTGTCTGGAAGCCTTAAGGAACAATTTTAAAATAGTTTATTTAGTACAATGAATTATCAACATCACGTAAGTCAAGTGCGTTTTGCCATGACATCCGCAGAACCTTCAATGGTGGCTTCCCAATTAGGTTAAATCTCAGATATTATCTCTTGTTAAATACAAAAACTGGGTTCTTTGTATTTAAAAGAATTATCTTAACATTCCTCCTCAATTAAACTAAGGTGTTTGAAGAATTTAACATACATTCTACATAAATTAATGCACCATCAAGCACAGTTTTCTTTGTTCAATATCTATATATGGTCCCATCTGGCTTGGCTTAAAAAATAAATCAATGTCATGTTTATAATACTTTCATTCCTAAAATAGTTCTCTTTCCAGTCAAAGAAGTTATCAAAATACAACATGATATTCACCTTTTGCTTTAATAGTTGTTCTTGTCTGGGTCATACAGTCATGGAGGTGTCTGGTACAGAAATATATAGCAAAATAATTCAAAGCAAATTGTTTAAATGACAGACTTTAAGAAATGAACTGGGGAGAAGTTTGGGGAATTTCTGTAAGTCTGTAGAGGTTTATGGTTGCTGTGTTTGGGGTATTATTTTTGATTAAGCATATGACATTTGTTAGCTATTTTTTAAAATTATTTTATTGATTATGCTATTACAGTTATCTCAATTTTTCCTCCTTTGCCACCCTTCACCCAGCAATCCCCACTCCCTTGGGCAATCCCCTCACCATGGACATGACACATGTCCATGGGTCATGTGTATAAGTTCTTTGGCTACTCCATTTCCTATACTGCACTTTACATCCCCATGGCTATTCTGTAACTACCTATTTGTACTTCTTAATCCCCTCACCTCTTCACCCATTGCCCACACCCTCTGCCAACTGGCAACCATCAAAACACTCTCCGTATCCATGATGCTGTCTCTGTTCTTCTCATTTACTTAGTTTGCTTTTCAGATTCAATTTTTGATAGATATGTATTTATTCCCATTGTTCATAGTTTTGATGTTCTTTTTCTTAAATAAGTCCTTTTAACATTTTGTACAATAATGGTTTGGGGATGATGAACTCCTTTAGTTTTTTCTTATCTGGGAAGTTCTTTATCTGCTCAATTCTAAATGATAGCTTTGCTGGGTAGAGGAAACTTGGCTGTAGGTCCCTGCTTTTCATGACTTAGAATATTTCTTGTCTGCAAGAAGTTTCTTCCCTTCTAGCCTGCAAAGCTCTTTTGAGAAATCAGCTGACAGTCTCATAGGAACTCTCCTTTAGGTAGCTAACTACTTTCCTCTTGCTGCTTTTAATATTCTCTTTATCTTTAACCTTTGGCATTTTAATTATGTTGTGTCTTGGACTGGGCCTCTTTGCATCCATTGTGTTTGGGACTCTCTTGCTTCCTGGATTTGCACATCTATTTCCTTCACCAAATATGGGAAGTTTTCTTTCATTATTTTTTCAAATAGATTTCAAATTTCTTGCTCTCTCTCTTCTCCTTCTGGTACCCCTGTGATGCAAATGTTGCAATATTTAAAGTTGTCCCAACTTGTCCCAGAGGCTCCTTACATTATCCTCATTTTTTTGGATTCTCTTTCCTTATTCTTGTTCTGATTGGTTGCTTTTTGCTTGCTTATTTTCCAAATCATTGATTGGATCCTCAGCTTCATCCACTCTAATGTTGTTTCCTTGTAAACTGTTCTTTATTTCACTTAGTGCATCCTTCATTTCTGACTGGATCTTTTTTAGGCTGTTGAGGTCCTCACTAAGTTCATTGAGCATCCTTATAAAGTGTTTTGAACTCTGACTCTGATAGATTGCTTATCTCCATTTTGTTTAGTTCTTCTTCTGGAATTTTGATCTCTTCTTTCATTTGAGCTATGTTTGTCTCCTTATTTTGGCAGCCTCCCTGTGTTTGTTTCTAGACTCCTTGCCCTGGTAGCATGATCTAATCTAGTGGATGTCCTATTGGGTCCAGTGGCACAGCCTCCCCATCACCCAAGTTGGCTACTCAAGATGTGCCCTTTGTGTCAGCTGAGTACACCCTCCTCTTGTAGTTGAGCCTTGATTGCTTTTGGCAGGTCAATGGGAGGGATTTACTCAGGTCAGTCAGGTGCAAGGACTGGCTGTGAGCACTGACCACCAACCTCCACCTCCGTGGAGGTTCAGGTATGCAGGGGCAGGGTGGTGGAGCTCCACTGTAGTCTGCAGCTGTCCACTGGGTGCACAGGTTCTGGGGTTTCCTGGGTGGTGCAGGCCAAGATCAGCCCCCACCTGTGTTCTGCCTGGGACCATTCTGCATGAGGTATAAAGCACTCTGAGACGGCTGCTACTTGTGCTGGGCTTGGAGATTCCCAAGTGAAGCCAAGCTGTGAATCAAGGCTGGCTTCTGCTAGTGCTAGGCCTGGGGCCACTTTGCTTTTGAGAGGATTTAGAAAGTTTTGAAGCTTGATCCAAGGCTAGCCATTCATATGGAAAAGTCAAGGTAAACAGGCTGGGTGGGCCTGTAAGTTGGGTAGGACAGAGTCTCAGGGGATCTCCAGGGCGAGGCATACATTGTTAGCCAGGTTGATGGAGTCTCAGATGTTGCACCTGCCTGCCAGCTTTGTGGTTCTGTGGGAGGAGGGTTCAGAAAAAGGCACCTGCCTACCCTTCTGTCTGTGAGAAAACTGTCCCCTAGCTCCTTCCTTGATGCCAGAAACTTCAGTTCCTCCTTGTATGCCATTGGTGCTTTCAAGCTGCTACCCCAGCACTGGAGCTCAGAGAGAGTAAGTCTGAGTAAGTCCACATGTGGGTTCTTTAAGGGAAACTGCTTCGGACTTCAGAAGTTTCTTCCACTGACTTAGTCCCCACTGGTTTTTGCAGCCTCAAGTACAGAGACTTATCTTCCTAGCCCTGGAAACTTGGTCTGGGGTGCCTGTTGTGGGAATGGGACTCCTCACTCCCAAGATATCCCTCTTGAATTTTTAACCACCACATGTGGATGTGGAACCAGCCCGTTCAGCATCTCCACCCCTCCTACCAGTCCGGATGGATGTGGTTTCTTTAATTACGTAGTTGTCAGACTTCCATTCAACTCGATTTCAGACTGTTCTGAGCGTAGCTCATTCTACATTTTAGTTGTAATTTTTATGTCATTGTGCAAGGAGGTGAGCCGTGTTTACCTATGCCACTATTTTGACCTAAGTGCCTATAACTTTTATATAGGACTTTTATAAAATAATTTTTAGCCCTGACCAGGGTGCTCAGTTGGTTGGGGGTCATTCTGCAAAGCTAAAGGTAGCTGGTCTGATTCCCAGTCAGGGCACATGCCTGGGCTATGAGTTTGGTCCTTGGTTGGGGCATGTGCAAGAGGCAACTGATTGAAGTTCTCTCACACATCTATGTTTCTCCCCCTCTCTTTCTCCCCGCCTTTCTCTTTTTCTAAAAATAAATAAATAAATTTTTGAACAAAACAATTTTTAAATAAACTAAACATTTATAGGAAAAATAACCTAAAATATTCAATTCCAGGATCAATTCTGAATTTTGTCAATGATTTTGACTAGTGCTAATCAGAGTGTATCTATTTGTCGTAGTCTACTTAACACTATATAAAGGAAATCTTATTTATTTGAACATTTAAAGCCTAAACTATGTTCTATCATGTATGTTCTTTCTTTTGTTATTTTTCATTATCATAAGTTGTGCTATAAAAACTTTGTATACGTTTTATTTTGTTCTCCTTTGGGGTATGTATGCCAAAAGAGAAATCTAGGTTTTACTGAAGAATTTACAATTTCTGCTAATTACTACTACAAAAATGCTACCTAGAATAGGACGTGTAACTTGCATTTAACAGATAATAATGAAACCTACAATGCACACTTTAGTTCTACAGTCTCATCAATAACGAATATTTTTCCAGTTTAATACAATAAATAGTGGGGGAAAGGTTGGCAGGAATCCCATAACTTGAAAAAGATAAAGTCAGTGGCATAAAACATCCTATTTTTATTTTCTAGGCTGAAATTATTAATGACCAAAAACATGTTTCTTGATTTCTCTTTAAACATGGTAGCTTGACAACATTCATCTATTATCTCTTGCTCCTAAAAGCCCACTAAAATAAAAGTGAAGAAATAAGAAAGGAGAAAATAAGGGTAAAGAGAATGAAAGAGGAACAACAGTAGATGGAAATCCAACCAATTTTTGGAAGGTGTTAAGCTGTTGGAGCAGTGATTAATCAACATAGTTGTGAGGCCACATATGGGGGCAACAGAGGATTCCTACATGAAGCAACCTGATTGCATTCTTGAACCAGAAAAGCATGGTAAGACACAAGACTAACAATTAGTTAAAAGTCAGGCCCTGGCCTGGGTTGCTCAAAAGGTTATGGGCTCAATCCCGGGTTGGGGCACATACCTAGGTTGCAGGTTTGATCCCTAGTTACAGTGCATGTGGGAGGCAAATGATTGATGTTTCTCTCTCTTAAATCAATACACATGTCCTTGGTAAGGACTTAAAAAAAGGTCAAAGTCGGTATACAGAAACCTTAGACACATACCTAAGGTGCCCTTCTCCATTCCTGTGATTACCATCCTTCTGGAAGAAGACCTTGATTCCAGATTCAAGGACAACAATCTGGGGAGGGGGAGGCCCTATAATTCTAAGGGAAGATTATTTCAAACCTAGAATTTATACTAAGCCTAATTATTACTCAAGGGTGAAGCTAGAACAATAAGATTTTCAAACAATCAAGGTCTCATAAAATGTATTTTCCATGCATACTTTTTTAGGAAGCTATTGGAAAATGGTGCTCTGCAGCAAATAAAAGAAGTAAAAAGAGACAGAGAGCATGAGAGAGAATCATGTGGCATCTAGGAAAGAGGGTATCCAATACAGGTGACGAGAACACCCACAACAACAATAAAGGAACAAGAGCTATGCAGCCCAGGGAGATGGTTGGTAAGCAGTACTGACTGGGGAAAGATGACGAAGGTGGCCAGAAAGGGTATCTTCACAGGACAGAACATACAACTGATGTCTTTAAATACTGGGGCAATTTCATAGACTAGTTTTATGCTGAAATGTTGAAATCTTTGGAAAAAACTACTGATAGGCAAAAGAGGTAAGTTCTAATGATGTGCAAATATAAACACAATTGTTCCCCACCACCCTATACTGGCTTCCACAGTTCTGTCAACAGGCATAAAGAGGGAGCCTCAGGAGGCTGGGTGCTCTGGGTAAGATGGCTTCTACACCAACCTTCACCTTCGGTAGCAGAAATGAAGTATGAGCTCCAGAACACCTGGTGAAAGGCTCTCCTGCACTTACTACAGCCACATCTCAAACAGCTACGATGATGAGACATCCCAAATCTGGCATGTACCTGGCAAGGCCCAGCAAAACTTCAACCTCCCTGATAATTGTAGCCTTAGCACTACCATCTGCCTTGAGACCATCCAAAATAGTAATACGACTTTTTCCCTTACTTATGTTAGATACCACATGAGGCCCAGGATTGCCACCCCCAAGTCTTCCCTCATCCCCCAGATTACTACTCCTACAGGTTTATCCTCTTTCCTGAACCATCTCTGTCCCATGCAAACCTCCATCCTACTTCTGTCACTAATCCCATGGCCATACAGTAACTCTCAACGTCACCAATAACTTCAACATCTCCAGAATTTTAACATCAAGCATTTGAATCTTCCAGCATCTATCTTTTCTCCTGTTTAAAATTTTTTTTTATTTATTGACTTTAGAGAGAGAGAAACATCTATTTGTTGTTCCACTTATTTATGCATTTACTGGTTGACTCTTGTATGTGCCCTGACTAGGCATCAAACGTATAACCTTAGCATAGCAGGACAACAATCGGACCAACTGAGCTACCCTGCCAGGGCTCTTCGCACTATTTTTAATATCTTGATTCGCAAAACTACTTTTACCCCATAGGACTTTTAACCCTCTCCCTCATATACTCATTTCCCACTCTAGCCACTCAGTATAATCACTCCTTTGTATACATCCTTAACTCCTTCATCCTGTATCCTTTTGCCACAATCACCTAACAAAACACCTAATTTTGATAAAACCCAATGTTCTGTTAGCTGCCTCTGAGCCCACACAGGTGACAAAAAACAGCTGGAAAGAAACACAGCCACATTGACTAGTCTCATTTTAATTTCATGAACTCCAAGTGAGCTACCTAGAAACTGCACATTTCCCTAGTCTATTGTTTTCCTAATCTACAGGACTATTTCACTCCTCCTCTCTCTTCCTCAAATCCCCTGACCTAACCAATAACTGATAACCTTGTTTCTATTTTACTGAAAAAATGAAAGCAACGAGGAGATTACCTCCACACTTAGCTAGCCATCTATCTGCCTACATTTGTGCTGTGCATTCCACCTTCCCTCCCATCACTACGGATGAACTCTCTATGCTACATATGGAGTGTACCCCCATCCCTCCAATACCCACACTAAGTCCCGCCCCTCCCGCCTAGAGAAGAAAATTGATTCAACACTTGTCTCTCTTCTGTTTTTTTTTTAAATATTTTATTTATTTATTTTTAGAGAGGGAAGGGAGGGATAAAGAAAGAGAGAGAGAGAAACATCAATGTGCGGTTGCTGGGGGCCATGGCCTGCAACCCAGGCATGTGCCCTGACTGGGAATCAAACCTTCAATGCTTTGGTTCCCAGCCTGCACTCAATCCACTGAGCTACGTCAGCCAGGGCTCTCTTCTGTTTTTACATCATCAATTGTATCTCATGATTTGGCAATCCTCACCAGCAGAGTAACATTATGTGATTTCTCCCACCTTAAAAAATTCCATTTACCTCTCTTCCCTCATCTTTTACCACCCCCCTTCCAGAATAACTCTGAAGAGTTGTCTATACTTGATATCCCTAAACTCACTCCATGCAGGTTTATCATCCCCACCGTTTCACTGAAATTGCTCTTTTTCAAATAATCAGTGCTACTAAATTGTCAGGTGTTAACTTACAAGACATATCTGCAACATAACTTAGCTGATTACTGGCTTCCATTTAAAACACTTGGCTTCCTTCTAATTATCTGGCTGTGTCTCCTTTGTTGGCTCTTTTCCCTCTCCTCAACCTCTAAATATTGGAGAGTCCAGAGCTTGTCCTTGGACCTCTTCTCTCCTGTATCTTTACTCCCTGGGAAATCGCAACTAGTCTAGTTTTAACTACCATTTAGATACTGATAGCTCCCAAATGGACATCGCCAGCCTGGACTTTTGTCTTAAACTCAAGACTTATATACCCAATTATCTATTCAGCATCCCCACCTTGGTATCCAACAGGCACCTTATATCTAGCCTATCCAAAACCAAACTCCTGATCTCTATGAATCCCCACTACCTTCCACCAAGTAAAACCAAACAAAAACAAACAACAAAACCCTGCTTTCCCTGGACTTAATCCATCCTTCTAGCTACTCAGGCCAAAAAAGAAATGTGTTTTCCTTGATGCCTCTTTCTCACATTTCAAATCCAATTCATTGGGAAATCCCATTGGCTTTATCTTCACTATACACCGGGTCTCACCAACTCTGCTAACCTGGTCCATGCCAACATCATCTCTCACCAAACTTATTATTATAGCCTCTTAACTACTCTGCCAGCTCCCACCCTTGCCTCAGGTCCACAAATCTATTTTTAACACAGTAGCCAAAATGAATCTTTGAAAATTTAACTAACAAAATTCAGTTTGAACTCTCTGAAACATAAAATGTCACTCTTCTGTTGAAACCTTCCAGTGGCTTCTCACCTCAGAGTAAAAGCCCCCCATAACATGGCCCACAGCTAAAGTCTGCCCCTCATCCCCATGACTGGGACATTATCTTTCTTAGCTGGTCTCTTCACTGCAGTCGCACCGGTCCCCTTCTTTCCCTGAACACACCAGGCATGTCTGTCACGGAACGTTTGCACTTGCTGTTCCCCTTGCCTGTAAGGCTTTCCCAGATGCTTGAAGGGGCTGCTCCTTCATCCCCTTCAGGTCTTCGCTCAAATGTCTCCTTATCTCTTGAACATCTACTTAGAAATAATAATCCTACAACTCCAAACTTAATTTTTCTCCATAATACTCAACACTAATACATTACATGTTATTTGTTTATATTGTTTCCCCTCAATAAAACATAAATTCTGTAGGTCAAGAAGTTTCTGTGTAGGTGCTCACTGCAGCATGCCCAGCACATAAAGCCCTATCGGGCACACATTTAGTTGAAAGAATAAATAGTATTGCTCCTATTAACTAATCAAAATAGAGCCTCATATAAAGGCTATAAAAAACTCAAGGCCTGGAGCCACCACATATAGATTCTCAGAAAGTAAGATATACCAGAAATTCCAAATTGCATAGTTGCAACATTCCAGTCTAATCTATTTACCGGGTCTGAAAATGTTTAAGGTGTTCCGTCCTTCTCAGTGATGTAGTTGGTGCTGCTCAGCTACTTCACAACCTTTTCTGTCAAACCACCCCCTTGCTTTGTAGAACGCGTTTTCAGAATCACACTGCGAGGTTGACAGAAGCAAGCAGAGAAAGAAGGCTAGCATGAGATTCAGAGAAAAAGAGCGGACAAGTGAAGCTCAAACATAACCCACCACTGTGCTCATTCCACGGCCCAATCTGCCTCTGAGACCCTACGAGGAGCACGACCCAGCTGGGCCTTCAGGACTTGGGACTCGGGTAATGACATGTCAAAGACAGGTGTTAGGGGAGCGGGCGCACGCACACACACACACACACACACACACACACACACACCGCTGCGAGAATCCTCAGGGAAGGACCAAGGAGAGTTTCCTCCCAGACACACCAGAAAATGAAGTTTGGGTTGGCACTTACTGCCAAACGGCCACCCAAAGTACTTGAGACCCGCCCTGTGACAGCGCTGGGGAGGCCAACCCAGAGGACCCGCCCTCAGCCCTCCCCCGCCACGCGGGCTTTTCCCGGGCTCCACAGGGTCCGTGCCGCGCCCCTGCCGGGGTGCGGGGGTGGCGTCCAGCTGAGCCACCAGCCGCTCTCCTAGCACCGGTTGCTGGCGCTGTGCGCCCCGCCAGTCCTCCGAGCCGGGACAGCGCCAGGGCGGGAGCAGGACCGGGAACCATCCCCCTCGGGCCCGCCCCCTGAGGCCCGCTGCGGGTAGAAGGGGGTGGACGTGGGCCACATGGGCCTGGGGCAGTGGCCAGACCCCCAGAGGGCCGAGTCCGTGGTTACCGGGTAGAGGTAGAGCACTGCTGCCACCAACGCCAGCAAGAAAGTAATGGCGAAGATCGCGAAGTCCAACATGGTCTTCCGCCCGGGAGCCGCTTCTCAGATCCACAGCTCGGACAGCTGCGCCTCGGCCTGGCCGGACCTGGGGAACGAGCGGCTGGGCGAGGCGCTCCCCGGGACCTGCGAGCGAATGGGTCGCGGGGGGCGTGGCCAAGGCCAACAGGGCAGGCGGGAAAAGCAATGGACCGCCGAGGAGTGGCGGGGACTAGGCTTCAGGGCACGCCCAGGACTTGGGCAGCGAGTTGCTGGGGAGTGCGGAGGCCAGGCTTCAAAGAAACTTTAGGCGTTGTCATAGTTGTACCCTGACTAGCTTTTTCCAGTGGATTTAAGATTAAAGCCTCTAAAACAATGTTGCACGGTGTGGTTACGGGACTAGCAGCAGCAGCATTGCCCGGGAACCCGCTAGAACTGCAGATTCTCCATCCCACCCCAGACCTACAGAATCAGACACTGGGGAGAGAGGTTCCCAGCAATCCGTGTTTTAACAAAGCTGTTAAAACGCGGTGAAAGCCACTATCTAAGGTAATCTGAACAGGGACAAGTCAAGAGTAAAGCGCCTTTAGAGGTTTCCTGTTTCGCAAAAGAATTTGAAGTGGTAGGAAATGTGCATCCGTGACAGTATTTCGTTTGGCACCGCCTGTGAGAAAAAGTGGTATCTACTTAAACATTTAGATTAGTTATTTAAAGCTAGGACCCCTCTTCCTCTGTTTACATGAGTTTTGACATGGATAACGTAAGGCAAAGTCTATTTACTGCTGTTCCATTTAGTGAAAGGGTCCTATAAGCGTTATAGATTTTATAACTTTAATAATATAAAGTGACCCAAGGGGGGGCAGTTTTTGCTTAATTAAGCAAAATAAATCATTCCAGATTACATTTTAGAGCTTTTATGATAATTTGCTTATTTTTAAAAAGATTTTATTTATTTTTAGAGATGGAAAGGATGGAGAAAGAGAAGGTGAGAAACATCAATGTGAGAGAGATCCACCAGTTGCCTCTCACAGGGCCCCAACCGGGGCCCGCCTGCAATGCAGGCAAATGCCCTGACTAGGAATCGAACAGGCGACCTCCTGGTCTGCAGGCCCGTGCTCAGTCCACTAAGGCACACCAGCCAGGGCATAATTTACTTATTTTATGATATGTATGAAACATGACATTGAAAATGGCAAATTTTTTTGGCATCTATAGCAAATGGAGCAAAACGTTGCTGAGATTTAATTCTGCAGAAATTCTTTGAACTCCAGTTGTCTGAGTACAAATGTATTTCAAAAGTTCATTTTTCAATCTCTTTGCAATTTTGAAGACATTTCCTATCAAAAACATGTTCCAAATAGGTTTTCAAAACAGTAAATACCAGATTTTTAAATGTATAATGTTGTAACATAACAGTAACAGCCCTAGGCACCAATCCTCCAGAATATCTGGACTCACTTACCTTTTAGTCCTAAATTGACCCTTTTAGTCCTAAAAAGCCTGAGACTTGAATTTGGGGGTCCATGAAAAAGAGACAAATTACAGAGGTAGAGCAAAGGCACAGTGTTTTAAACTATACAACCTCCTCTTGTGTTCTTCAAACTTTTGCCTGATTCCTAAAAGGATTTTTGAAACACCGTATCTATGTATATATATTTTCACACATTTTTGTGTTGACATCTAAAATTTTTATCTTCACTTTAAAGGATTAAATACCTTATATCTCATTGTAAATATCCATTTTGAAATCTTTTAAATGTATAAAATGAATTTAAATGCAAAAGTGATGTCGTGACTCTATCATCAACCATTTTTTAAAATATATAAACTCTTTGTGAAGAACGAGAACTCTTGCAGTGTCATCTGTGCCCCTTTGGGGACTAGGACCTGTAATCATAAACAGCCCAGAGTTTGTGGAAATGGGAAGCACAAAGCCTCCCAGTGGGTCATTAGGAGTGAAAGTCAGAGAGGTACTGCTCCTGCTTTCAGTCCCAAATCTATGTATTATTCTAACTAGAGCCAAGAAAGCATGTAAGAGACTTTGATTTAATGAAAACAGTAAATCCTTAAAGATAGGAACCTCATCCTTACAGAGTAATTGCCTCTAATCTGATGTTTCACCAGCCTATCCCAATGCTCTATCAGGATGGCCACTTGTAGATGATACATGCCAGATGACCAGTGGATCCCACTGACATGGCTTCCTCTAACACCTATGTACTATGAAGTGGATACTTGGTCTGATGTGATGTTATGTGGGATGCCTAGCCCGTGAATCAAATACTCCAGAGTCCTTAAGATAATGGTGCTGGCTGAGGCCCTGTAGACAGAAAGGCAGACCTAGAGAAAATAATGTCTATTCTTATGAGAATGAACCTCTAGCCCTTCCAGAATAAAAGGGGCCCAAAATAGCCAACTTTCCAGCAAGTTGCCCATTGGTGGTGTTCTGGAATGATGCTATATCGATGCTAAGTATTGCTTTTTGCCACTGGTAAGCTGGACATTTAGTGTTGGGAGTAGCTACAAGCTGCCTTGGTAAGTGATGCGTTAATGCTGTTGAGTCCACGTAGTCCATTGTTCCAGCCCTGGACTGGCCAGTGCAAGGACTGACAGAAACTAGATTGATTTTTCCACTTGACTATTTAGTGCCTCTTTCATGGTGGGTATTCTGTTGGCTGTTAATATGTAACTAAAAGATTACCACACTTCCACTCCAATATGTTTATTCATCTGTATACCTCTATCCCAGACCTTTTCATCCTGGATCTTAGCTTTTTCCATTCATGCCCCTGACCATTTGGTCAGGCCTTTCACCAGTGCCCATAATCCCATACATATTCTCACCCTGGGCTTCTTTCACCCTAGGTGAATGACATGGTGCACGGCTAGACATCTGCCCATTGAAATGGTTTTTCCCTTGCCACTGTCTTTGAAGACTGCCCATAAATAAGGCTTCAGTTCAGCTCCTACCTATTTTTAGCTTTACACACATACTAAGCCATCCCATTTGTTAATCAAGTGTGGGCTTTTTTCTCATCCTCCATCTGCTCATACAGGACCACCCACAAAACCAAACATGTTAGCTAAGAAAAGAGAACTGGGGTAACAGTGGTTGATACCCTGGGGATCTGGCCTACTTCCTCATACTTGCCTCTGCTCTGTGGTCCTTAAGACCTGGTGATCCGACAAGACCTAGCTAACAATAGGCGGTGGTGGAAAACTAAGTCTCTTATAAGTAAGGATTAATTGCCATTGCTCAGGACATCCTTTAAAAGGATTTTGTACAACAAATCTTGGAAGATAAAGGTAGTTTCTTTCTAGAACAGAAGGGAAGTTTGCTAACTTATCCAATGTAAAAACAGCTCCCTCCAGAGCAAGGGTCAGACTGGTTTGCTTGCAGCCCATTACATAAGATTCAACTTTCCTAAACTCAGATTCTTCAGCTGCGACATAAGATTGTGAAATGTATTCTTCTAGTTTCTTCTAGAAGTTTGTAGGCTTTACAGTAGTAGGTTTTACATTTAGGTCTATACATCACTTCAAGTCAGTTTGTAAGGTGAAAGTGAGACATCATTTTTTCCCATGTGGATAATGAGTTCTAGCACCATTTGTTGAAAACACTACTGTTCTTTTCCCGTTTAATTATTTTGGCACATTTGTAGACAATCAGTTCACTATGTATGTATGGATACATCTAAAGGTTCCTGTCTTCTTCCATAGAGCTACATGTCTCTCTTTGTTTCCGGATTACTATAGCTCTATAGTGATTTCTTTTCTTTGAAAAGAAATTCAAATATAGGTAACTATCATTATCTTAGCCACCCTGTAAATCCAGATTCATTCATTTTGGATCTGTTTTACCATTCATCCATTAATTTTCCACCTTCCAATATGCTTATATTTTCTATTTTCCTTATTCTTGTAGGTTTATGCTTTTGTCCTTGTAGGTTTATGTCTTCATTGTTGTTCTGATAGAATTTTCATATGAAGCAAAACTAAATACAGTACTTTTATAGTCAATCTGTTATCCTTAGAGAACAGTCTTTTCAAAGATCTGGACAAACAGAATCAGCTGTGGCAAATGTCAAGCGGTAATAGCTCCTTATAGTTGATCACTTTTTTTACTTAACTTTAAGATTCCAAAGATGCAGAAGTAACATATTTAATATATTTTAAAGTACCCTAAATTAAAATATCCTAAATTTTTTGGATATTGACAGAACTCATAGTTTCCTTTAACAAACACCTTTTCATGCTGGTTAACTTACTGGCTTACTAATTAAAAGCAGAATGTTTCATAAAACACCTTTTCCCATTTCAAACCTCCAAGCAACTTTACTGCTTAAGATCTGTGAGCCTTAATTGTAAAGTGATACTAGCCAGTCATATCATTTGGTATGAGAATAATTAGGCTCAGGCAGCAAAAGAGAAAATAATACATAACTGGTATACATTATTGGTTTTTCACATTCACTGCTATGTTTGGCTGAATAAGGCACCCAAATATGTACATATCCTAAGCCCTGGAATTTGTGAATGTTACCTTACATGGTAAAATAAACTTTACAGAGTAGTAAGCAAGCTAAGGATCTTGAGACGGGAAGATAAACCTGGGTTATCCATGTGGGCCCAATATAATCACTAGGCTTAGTAAGAGGGACACAGGAAGAGGAAGAGGCAGAGAAAGCAATGGGATGGTGGAAGCAGAGATTAAAGTGATATGGTCTGAGTTTGGTGGCCATAAACCAAGGACCACCACCACTAGAAGCTGAAAAAGATAAGGAAATGGATTATCCTCAGAGCATCCAGAAGAAATCACCCCTAATGACATTTTGACTTTAGCCCAGTAAAACTGATTTCAAATTTCTGACCTCCAGAATTTTAAGAGTAAATTTATGTTGTTTTTAGCCACTAAATCTGTGGTAATGTACAGCAGCAACGGGAACATATATAATCACTTGTAAATGCAATGTACCTTAAAGGGAGACGAGGCAAAATATCTAATGTTATGATCAATACCATCCATCAGTTAATTACTGTACTTTATAGTACAGGTAATTAGATTTAGGATATAGGCATTCACTTCAAAGAAATTTATTTTGCCTCTCTTATTAAAAGATTACTCCTTGCCAGGGAA